ATATTCTGATCAACATCAACATGTACATGGATCATGTGATCGTGTTTAAGCATGTGATCGTGGATTGATTCACGTTTCAAACTTCATGATTTGAGAGCACATCAAAATAGATTCAGTACTGTAGACGTACGACAAGAGACATGTAGATATAAGACATGAAGGGCGAGCAAAATATAGGCCTACAGGGCAAGTTGGATCCAAGACAACTGAGGTGATTTACCATATGTAAGAACTCTTGTCAAATTCTCCGGTTGACGAAAATCAAAGGACTGGTTGCAAATCTGATTCTTACATTCAAAATAATAAACCTTGTGATGGTTCACCGAAGTCCATGAGTCAACCCACCCACACTTGGGCATTGAACAGGAAGGTACTGCCCCCAAGCGAAACAGAGCATGGGTCCATGCGAACTTGGTGATGTTCAATGAGTCAGAATTCTTCACCAACAATAAAATGTCAGAGTGCTGACCTAAATTGTGAGAGTGACCCAGCATGAGGGAATGCGTGGCTGATAGAGAATCGCTTGATGATGACACGCTCGATGAATGCGAGAAGAATATGTGTGGTAAAGCTTGGCTGGAAATGTACTGCATTGAAGGCTACAGTAGCATAAAGTTGATGTCTAGTATAACCAGATTAAGTCAGACACAAGATGGATCAAGAATAGCTTACTGGAGTACTGAGGTCTTCAAGTTTGCAAAGCTTTCAGAGTTTTGACAATAGTGCCACAACAGAACAGCCATAGGTATGATTCAACAGCAAGGTTGATGAGATCCTTGAAAGGACCAAGCACAATGTCCAGAAACTTTGTTTCAGACTGTCAGTACACATGCGAAGTTAAACAAGCGAACTTACAGTATTGACTTGAGTAACAATATATATTTCTTCTTGCCCTTGTAGCCTACAAAGGGGTCACCAAAGGTATTGTCCGTATGGTCAGAGATCCCAAAGATAATGTGTTCCAACCGCCAGTGAAAGCCAAGAGTTCAAGGACAAGTTTGTTGACCGTAGAATGAAACCTGACGATCTTCGAATCAGAACCAACATCAAAGATGACCTCACAAAAAACGATTCCACCATTAGGAAAGTATGGCATGAGAAAATTGTGCGCGAGTTTGAAAGGTCCACCCGTTGCGTTGTTGTTGATGAGGTTGAGATGTATAAACAGCACAGTTTCGGCCAAAACCTGTGCTTGGTGAGACAACTCAAGTGCCCCATGGATCTGAAGGAATGTGTCGAAAATGGGCTTCCCATCACAGTAAAATCCCTGTAGTCATATATACATGATTGAATCAATATAATAAAAATAAAACCAAAACAAAGGTTAGGGACTCACAAAGTAAGGATTTTGGGGGCAGCGGCCATGATATTGAGCTAGGACATGACAAGAAATGCAAACGAATTTGATGCTGACTCCAGAAATAATGTCCTGGTGATGTGGCATGATCTGCAAGCAGTAGGAGCACATAGTGCGTGGACACAAGTCGCACATGAACAAGCAGTCGTCATCCACTAATCCATCGCGACAAACAAGACAAAACTGTAGGTACAGTGGCTCAAAAAACTGTCCGCATGTTTTCACATTTTTCACTATCTATGATATTGTGTGAGAATGTACAAACACATCAAGGACATGCTGGTACCATATTGTGGTACTACTTCAGGGCTTCCAATTGAGCCCTATGGCGTGGGAATTGGTCGAGATATGGTGGAGATATGAGGCTTACAAAATGATGACTCATGCGGACAGTTTTTTGACTCAAGTATTTTACAGTGATAATCAGGTATTCTAGTACATTGTGTGACCTCCCTTGGCTTTAATTACTGCCTCTATCCTTCTAGGCATACTCTCAATAATTTCTGGCAATATTCTGCTGTAATCCTTGCCCATTCCATGCTACTCTCTCCCATAGCTCCTATACTCCTTTAGGGGGGGTTTCATAGGCTTGAAGCATCTTCTTGAGTATTCCCCAGAGATGTTCAATGACATTGACATCAGGGGACTGTGCTGTTCAGTCAAGAACATTGATATTATGTTCTTTAAACCATTGTCTGGCTCTCCTAGATGTGTGCTTGGGATCATTATCCTGTTGGAAAATGATGTCTTCTTCATCAATCCCTGAGTCAGCTATGCTAGGCAGCAAGTGGTCATTTAGAATGTCCACATACTGCTCAGCATCCATCCTCCCCTCAACTTCAGCAGGCATACCCACACCATTCCATCTCATACAGCCCCATACCATTAGAGAACCTCCTCCAAATCTGACAGCCTCACTAACCTCTCTGTCTGTTAGAAAATCCCTCTTCTTTTTCCATACATATACCTTCCCATCTGACCCAATCCTATTGATTTTGGTCTCATCTGAACATATAACATGCTTCCAGTCCTCTACAGTCCAGTTTTGATGGGCCAAGCCAAAGGTAGTCTTTTCAGCCTATGTTTAATAGAGATAAGAGGCATTTCTTCTTTGTTACTGCCTTGAGATGAGCTGCCTTGAGAACATTCCTCACAGTTTGTGAAGAGACAGTGGTGGTGATGGTGTGGAATTGGTATAATGGGTGGCTTGGAGGGCATTATTAGCCTTTCCTGTAGTGATATGTTGGATGATAGCCCCCTTATTAGAGGTGGACGTCCTCCACAAGAGTTTTCCTTGTCCAGGTGGCTTTCTTTGATACACTTGGCTGCAGTAGACTTGCATACTTCAGTTCTAGAGGAAATTTGATGAGCAGAGAGGCCAGCATAGGACAAAGAGAGATATTATCCCTTTGAGTAGAGGAGATGGCTTTCATGGTAATTATGACCATGACACATGACATTCTGGTTTATATAGTTAGATATAGTTTTAAGAGTATGCCTAGAAGGATAGAGGCAGTAATTAAAGCCAAGGGAGGTCACACAATGTACTAGAATACCTGATTATCACTGTAAAATACTTGAGTCAAAAAACTGTCCGCATGAGTCATCATTTTGTAAGCCTCATATCTCCACCATATCTCGACCAATTCCCACGCCATAGGGCTCAATTGGAAGCCCTGAAGTAGTACTACAATATGGTACCAGCATGTCCTTGATGTGTTGTATATTCTCACAATATCATAGATAGTGAAAAATGTGAAAACATGTGGACAGTTTTTTGAGCCACTGTAGATGTAGATAGATGTAGTTAGTTGAAATGTTAAAGAAAAATGGTGTTTAGACGCACATTATTATGATCCGTTCTCTCTCCTCCTCAATCCTCACAGACCCCACTTCTAACCTTGAAATGGTCGAAACGGCACCAGGTAGGTTGAGGGTGACATGAGGCGCTGCGCCACCAGTCCACTTCTCACAAGTTTGTTTTGGTCCGAGGGGGCATGGCACAGTTGTGGATGCTGGGATCGCATATACTGATATGATGGCTGCTGCTGGGTAAACACGAAATCAGAGAATCGCAGAAACAATGGTAAACACTGAGAACAATGGTATAGTATTAATATTGAGACTACAAACGGGAGACGTGCTAGACTTGCAAGTTCACAAACATGTCCAAAACAACAAACAACACCAAATAGACATGTTGGTTCAAACTTCAAACTTCAAACGCACTGTTGACTTTGCTCTTTCCACATCTTCACACTACACACCTTTTCTTTTCTCATCAATCTATGATACACGCTAATTCTATGGTAGATCCTTTGGATCCTTGCAGGCTGCACCTGCAAGGATCCAAAGGATCTACCATAATGTCAACTTTCATGCCCAGTAAGTTTTTTCTTCATTGTGTACTGTTTGCTAATGTTTATCTCTACAGCCATTTAGCGTCTCCCACTCAATGGTAAGTCTTTCACTTCATTCACAACGCGCTAATTTCGCTCTTTAGTTATAGTGTTTTCTATAGTGTGTCCTTCATTCAGTTCACTGTGCACTACTCAATGGTAAATCTTTCATTGTGTTCACTATGCTAGTTTCTCTCTTTAGTTCTAGTGTTTTCTCTGGTGTGTCCTTCACTTGGTTCACTGTGCGCTAACATTTCTCTCTCTCCAGTGTCTTTTTCATGTCTCTCCCGCAGTTAGATTCGGTGTCAGGATTGTTCTCAAGTCCATGTTTTTCTGTTCACTGCCTGCTAATCTGCCATTCTCTCTAGTATTTTTTCATGTCTCTCTGGTAAGTCTTTCATTCATTTTACCGCACGCTGATGTTATCTCCCTCTAGTGTATCTTCTCTTCTTAGCGTCTCTCTTGTTGGTAGTGGGTGATCTGGGGCTTGCATGCGGTGCATGCCACTTGTGAGTGGCTCCCACTATTGAATCTGGGTGCTTACATGTGGTGCATGCCACTTGTGAGTGGCTCCCACTCTTGAATCTAGGGGCTTACATGCGGTGCATGCCACTTGTGAGTGACTCCTGCAATTGATTATGTGGGCTTGCATGCAGTGCATGCCACTTGTGAGTGGCTCCCGCTCTTGATTCTGGGGGCTTGCATGCAGTGCATGCCATTTATGTTCATGATGAGCGGTGATTTTTCCTTATTCACACCTAAGTCACATCTGACTTGGAAATATTTCTAGTCTCACAAGACTTTGATGCAACATAAATTTCAGAAGCTAAGTGCCGTATTTGATGCTGGGCGACATTTTTATCATCTGTAAGTCCGCATACTACTCAAAAACATTTCTCGCTGATAAATCTTACAGGACTTTGTCGCAATATGACTTTCAAAGCTAAGTGCCTTGCTTTGATTATAAACTATATCTAATTATTCAGCAGGGTCATAAATTTACTTTGTAGACTTTCTTTGGAGTGTACGGCTTCGGTGAGGAGGGCCCCCCTCATTGAAGTTGTGCACTTCCCTAATTTTTTCTTTATGTGGTTTGCATTATGAAAGTCTTAGTAATTGATTGTTTGTGTACTACTTTGTCCTGCTATACTGTCTCCAAGTCATGTGACTGTGGAAATATTCCTTTAAAGGAAACAAGGTATCGTCCGATGAACTGGACCTGGGCTATGATGACATCTGAGTAGTATTCTTATGTTAATGTCAGTATTCTGAGTTTTAAGTAGTATACTCAATATATGATAGCATCTTGTACAGGCTAGGTGTGATAAAGCTGACAACAACGATTGTTGAGATCAAGGCAGGAAAAGATGAGGGTTCAGAGCTGACAATGATAATTTGCACACTCACTTGATCACTCGAGGATTTCTCTTGACATGGAATCTAGCTCGAGACTATATCTGATGGTTGTTCACAGTTTTGTGTGATCGGAATCAAATGGTAAAATGGTTTTGTCCTTGTGCTATTATTTCCTTGATCCCGTTGTAATCAACCAGGAGATGTGGTGAAGGACAGGACACTCAACACAATCACTCTAGGATTTCTCTTGACATCAGATCTTAATTTGACCATCCAGAGTGCACTTGTCCCGAAAGCACTGGTCCTCAAGTCTGATAGTAATCATGCTGCTCAAATGATGATGAAAATGATTCTGAGGAAGTCAAGGATCTCAAGGTGAGTTGCCTCGTTTGTTTCTAATGAACAGCCTTGGTGCCGATGATGAAGATGTTCTTCTTAGCATTCATTACTGTCCATCTCCATCAATATTTGGTTAAGTACGCAGTCCCCTGCACCTCCTGCATCACCCAATGAGCCACCACATGCCTTGACAATGAAGTGCAAACTCATCAAAGAACATGACACAAGGAGCAGCAGCACAGGCCTTGTCGAATACATCACAAATATTGGCTTCGGATTCACCGAACCACATCATGAGCAGCTCAGGCCCCTTGATGCTGATGAAGTTGGCTTGACATTCATTGGTGATGCTTTCGCAGGGAGAGTCTTACCCATCCCCGGTGGGCTGTAGAATAGCATTCAAAGACGCTTAATATGTGTTGTCACCACACAACTCACTTCTTAGCGTTCGTACCACAGCTCCTTTTGCCTTATATCTCTGAAAATATCTACCCTTAAAGGCACTCTATCATTTTGGTCTTTGCATATTATTCAGTCTCTTCTTACTTTACTCAAGAAGCTTGGTGATTGAACTCATGGGGTTATGACTCATTTGAGTCTAAATGAAATTTGGGTCAACTCCAAGTCGGATCAAATTCATCAAACCTAATTTGGATCAAATATTAATATGAAATTTTTGAGCCAAGGAAGTTGAACCAATTCACTGTCCACTGTAGTCCAAGTTAATTGTGTCTTTCATAGCTCCTTTTGCCTTATATCTCTAAAATATATATACCCTTGAAGGCACTCCATCATTGCAGTCTTTGCATATGTTCAACAATGGCTAAAGGCCATCTCTGGCACAGAATTGTTCTTTAATGCCGTAACAGCTTTCATTGCTCCTGAACAATTTGAGGCAGCCTTAGCTGCAGCCTTGAAGATATAGAGTGCCACTTTGCAGTCTAAAAAAACTGCACCAACATCTCAATGGCCATCTATTTTTTCTGGATTAGAGCTTATTGTTAATTGGGTTACTTTGGGTCACCATGATGCTGGTGGGGCCTCATCTCATTACGACCTCCTAGCCAGTTTGGGCATTGGGCACAATGCAAATTTTCGCATCGAAGATCTAGAAGCAGAACTTGATTATTTCCCTGGAACATTAGTAAGTATTTTGGGCAAGGTACGAACCTCATTATTTCTTCATTGAACTATTTCTTAAATATGTGGGAAGGTTTTGGAGCACTCTGTCAGTCCCTGGAAAATTGGAGAAAGATTTGTCGTTACACATTTTATGAAGGATAAGGTTCATGATCGAGTAGGGGTGTCTAAGCCAGCATTTCCAGTTCAGATGGACTTTTTACAACTATTGGGAAGTGATCCTACAGATCATAGACCTAGGAAACATGTCAGGAGGGAGATATAGGGTGATCTCATGGTCAGATCAGGACTCCAATTGGAAGAAACTAGTTGGACTTGGTAAATGTTTTGTTTCTAATTACAGAAGTGATTAATCATGATAGAACAGTCAAGACTCTCTTGAAGAAGCATAAACGAGCCATCAAGGGAATTAGCGATACAAAGCCTCCTTTTGATGAGCTAACACACTCATTGGATGACGAAAAAAATTGCCATATGGGAAAATGATGAAAAGAAGGCTATGGAGGAATGAGGCAAATATCTTGACATTTGTCAGCTCAAGATTGATCAAGGTAATTCATCACTACTACTGTCCAGTGCAAATAATGGCTAACTGATATGTATCATTGTAAATCTGAAGCCCCTACAATGGCCGACCTAGGGAGTCAATCCCCTAGGCCGGCTAACAGGAGTTGACTAGGATCAGGCCCAAGTCAAAGAACAGAAGAGCAGGGCTTAGAAAAGGTAATATTTAGACTGGGTATCTACAGACAAATGGACATAGGTTTATATACTCTAAGTAATGAGCATAGTATAGTAGAAGGCTATGTGCTGAGGGTACAGGATTACAACAGGATGACTGAGAGATACGAGAATAAGGCTTGGAGAACAGTATGTACATGATGGATCAATAATCACTAAGGTATAGGAATTACCAGTGATCCGAAAAGTAGAACTATGATTCTAAATGGAGATAGGACCAGTTGAGTGGTTCCTAGTCTAGGAGTGGACCAGTGAGGCGGTCGGATGGACTAATAGTCGGGAGGGGGAATACGAGTGGAACTGAAGGATCCACGCGGGTTGGAAAAGCGGAGGGAGTAGGAGTAGGATCAGGCGGACCGATAGGGCGGAGGAGCGGAACCCCAGATCGGACAGAGGTAGCAGGGCTAATCCTGCTGAGATGCACTTCATACATTATTGGGGATGGAGGAATGGAGCGGACGGGGAAACAGGAGGTCGGACCAGGGGTGGGGACGTTGATAGGTGGTATTGGGGGTGCTCGGATCCGGTATATGACAGGAACAGTATCTTGGATCATTCAAGGCATCAATCTTGAGGATGCCCAGTACGTCATAAGTGATTCAATCATGAAAGCATGACCACATTCATTTTAGGGATGGGTTACAATCAGAGTTTCATTGCCTCCCATCTGATGCCACTGCTGCTCAGAAGGCTACTCTTCAAGAGAAACGACAGAAACTATCAGCTCGTATAACTGCATTCCATAAAATTGCTGCAGTGTGGACAAGCTCCAGAGGTCGAGTAGCACGCCATTGAGATGAGGGGAATGTGTTTGCATGCATCTTCCCAGCTAAGCATGGCTCACAGATGGGATCTGGCATTTTCTTTGAATCTAGCTTGAGTCCAGTGACCATGTCATGATCAATAAGCTTCTTGACACCTGCTAAGTGATGGTGAGCGAGTCTCCTGTGCCATAGGTCCAAGTCCAGAGGTAGAGTGGTCGCTGCAGAGGCAAATTCAGAGAGAGGGATAGTGGAGCCATCTAAGAATGCTGCATTGCTGCTGCTGATGGGTGCAACAAACAATGTGGTGCCTGCAGGACGCTGAAATGACATCTTGGTGGAGTCAATGGTGACATGGAAGCCACTGTGGCGAGTGAGGTAGAGGACAGAGAGCAGGTTGTTGCGAAGGTCAGGGACATGCAAGACTCTTGAAAACTCGACAGGTCTAACGCTCTTGCCATCAATGACTGGGTTGAAGACCACAGTGCCAACACCAGCAGAGTAGACAAAGGTGTTGTCAGCTAGCTTGATAGGGATGCGATTGGGAGTGTAATTGCAAAGCCAGTGACGATGAGGGGTCATGTGGGATGTGGCACCTGTGTCTGCATTCCAGTCGACAGTAGCATCAAGTTGAAGGGGACAGATAGTGCTTGAAGGGTCAAAAGAGCGAAGACAAGCAGTGCCGGCGAACTTAATGATAGTAGAGTTGATAGGAATAGGAAAGGAAGTGGGAGAGGGCAATGCAGTGGGGTCTGTGAGACTCTGAGTCTTCCTGGAGAGCTTCTTGGTCTTCTTCCTCCTGCTACGACGCTGTCTAGAGTACAGGGAGGCAAGGGTAGACCAGATAAGCACAGGATGATCTTCAATAGCATCAATCTGCGACCTCATCTCCAATGGGCAAGCCAGATAGAGTTCCCCAGCAGCTTGGTCAGCCTTAAGGTCCCATAGAGCCTGTGCCTCAGGCTGTGAGTCTGCAGGACGCTTCTCAGAGCCACTGACAAGCAGCCACAAGCCCTTGGAGCGCATGGTAAGACTCCATCTCTGATCTCCAGATAAGATAGTTGGAAGAGCTGAGTTGAGTGATAGTCATGGGTGACATAGCAAGGGATTGGGTGGCAAGTAGGACGGTCTAGGATGATGCAGGACGTTCAGGAAAGCAATGGATAGGACAGGGAGCGACAGGAGGTAGATGACCAAAAGGGGCTATGGAAAATTTCAACAAAGCCACTTGGTTGAACTACTCAAAAGCAACACAATGGGTGTTCCAACAGTCCAAATGGTGCTCAGACACAAAGATAAGTGTTTCCTGGGGCGTAGAAAGCGATGGAATACACCAGGGAAGGAGTGGAGCAGTAGTTGGATGAGGAATGAATGACTTGAGGTCCTTAAAGCGCAGGGCTCATAACCTGTTAGAATAACCAAGTGAACCAAGCCACAAGTGAGCTAATGAGAGTGAACAGGACTATAGTCCAGTGTCAGTTGCTGTTGTGTTGTGTAAACTAATGAGTGTACTATACCTATAGTCCAGTGTCAGTTGCTAAAGAGCAACCAACACAGGACTTGCTACCTATGGGCGAGTCTATGTAAACAAGTGTAAACACTGCCTAAGTAAGTAAGGAATTCACATCACATGCTAAGTGAGAGTCCAATAGAGGAAGCAACATCATAACACAAATAACTCGCACCATAAGGTGCTCAATCACCACAACTAACAAAATATTTGCAATAATATTTTGTTAGTTGTGGTGATTGAGCACCTTATGGTGCGAGTTATTTGTGTTATGATGTTGCTTCCTCTATTGGACTCTCACTTAGCATGTGATGTGAATTCCTTACTTACTTAGGCAGTGTTTACACTTGTTTACATAGACTCGCCCATAGGTAGCAAGTCCTGTGTTGGTTGCTCTTTAGCAACTGACACTGGACTATAGGTATAGTACACTCATTAGTTTACACAACACAACAGCAACTGACACTGGACTATAGTCCTGTTCACTCTCATTAGCTCACTTGTGGCTTGGTTCACTTGGTTATTCTAACATATTTTGTAGATTCAAGTCACCTTATATGCGACGCATCAGATGCAGAAGGCTGCTCACAGTTGTGCCCCAATAATTCCTAAAGTGTGCTGTGACATCCATCACCCTTTAGCATTCTCATCATTTAATCCTATCATTGTCCCTCAACTGCCCGGACTTCCCATCCGCTCTCAACTTGCGAAATATACCATGGGCCCACAGGAGTTCAAATTGTGCAAGGCACTGGAGGATTGGAGAGACCAGAAGACAGTGGAAATATATGGACATTATTGAGTCGCGCTACATTGGGCTGCAGGAATATCTGCCAGATTGTGTCCATGGCTGCCATCTTCAAATGGAAAAGGCCGGGGACAAAGATAACATGTTGTAAACAGTTCCATGGTGTGTTTTTGATTGATCGATGCTGCTGTGCAGATTAAAGATGTTCTCCTCTCCCAAGGTCACTGTGGAAGAGAACCACATACTCTAAGATGTCAGGCATGTCAGGATCATCAATGACTGTAGGATCTCTGATTCCACCCTGCTTGAGCAGGTTGACAATGCTTTGTATATTCCCTATGACAGTAGAATTACTGATATCCATTGCAGATGTAGCAATAATTGGAATTTTGGTGACAGGGATGGCTTCAATAGCCTCAGGTTTGTGAAGTTTGTCGCGGAATTGAGAAAAGTATGGAGGGCCTACGGGTATGAGATGAGGTCCAAGAGAAACTTCCATGAATTAAATCTATCGCAGCGGCTAAGACCCAAGTCATTGGGTGTGTCCACATGAAGAATGAGCAGATCTGCCCATCCCTTCTTTGGTGGCGGTTCTGCTCAGGTATTAAACGGTGACATCTTCCACAACTCTTCAGAACACCTAAGGTCTTCCTTGGATATGTTGTGCTGTAGTAGGAACATCAGACCTGATGTTAGATGCTTGAGAGATTCTGTTGAATTTTCAATCTTGTGCTCATGGGTTTTTAGGTCTACATCAAAGTTGTCATAGGCATATGTCACAAGAAGTGGCCATCTGAGTGACCGGAGGTGTTGGTGGGTTTGTGCTGCTAATGATTGTGTTGCAGCATGAATAGCATTCACAGACACCAATATACTGATCTGTTCCAGTGTTTCGATAACTTTTTGTAATGTGTGCATCAATTGTAGGAACATCCCAAGTACACTTTGCAAGGTATTTGAACGCTGATTTGTGCTTCTCATCATGATGCTCAGAATGGTGATTTTTTTCTTGATTACATGTAGCGATGTCAGTAATATTGATTTGAAAGGCAGTGAAATAACACATGAGCAAGGTCTTTGCTGCCTGTTGTTTTTGCTGTTTGGTTCTCTCAAATTCCATGTTGTTGCCAAGCCTTGATATTAACGATCCCTCGAGATCCCCTTCCCCATCCTCCCAGTAAGCCTCTTCATCACTGTTGCTATTTTCCATGATGACATCACTGTCATGATCTCTCCCGATGGTTACTTTAGATTGTGTTCCCCCAGACAGCATGCTCTCGAGTAAGTTCCATGTAACTGGTGCATATTTCTCCATGATTCTGGCTAACTTGGCCACCCTAAAATCCTCCAGTTGCTTCACTGTAGTGTGTGTTACATCAAAATGTGTTCAGCTACCCTTAGCAGCAAGGTTACGAATTTCTCATGCACAGATGTCCTTCGTAATATCAGTAGCCCATTTTGATGCAGTACTTGAAGTTGGGTCATAATGACATATTGATATATATATTTGTTAGTGATACAATATCTAATTGAACTATTTGTGACTCTGCTGTCTCTTTCTGGGTTCGTGACAGTGGCTGACCTTGTTTACAAATGTTTTGTTCCAGCTGCTGGTGGACAGGTTGGGTGGATAAGGTTGGGCTGGGTTTGAAAGATTTGCGCATGTTTCCGGTTTTGTTAGGTATCATGCTGGCTCAGGAGGCAGAGGGGTCCGGGCTTGGCTTCAGCTCTTGCGCTGCGCCCTTAGCTGAGTATGTGCCCCGAATTTGGAGCGGGTCCAACATTGTCCGACGATAAGACAAGTGGTCCGCTTCGGTCCGCTTTGAGGGTCAGGAAGTAAGAGCTACTAGCGGCAAGCCGACTAGGAGCAGAGCAGAGAAGGCGGGGGAGTGATGCGGAGGGTGGATAGGAGCAGGGGGAAGGTTTGGTAGGAGCAGGGAAGGCAGAGGATGGGAAAATGGATAAGGGGAATATTGATAGGGGTGGAGGAATAAGGGAAGCACTTAGAGCATGGCTCTAAGTTGGAGCGGAGGGTTGGAGGATCGGAGGGTCAGAGGCGACAACAAGTTGAGACTTGTGTCCAGAGGAGGCAAGGTCCTACTGAGAATTCTCACAAGAGGTAACTGCGAGAAGACAAGTAATATTAAGACTGAGGAAAATATCTAAGTACATGATATGTTATATACTTCTATGTATGAGGCAGTGACCAGGATAACTATGTTGTAAAGCTATGTACCAAGAATATAATTTGTAAGTACTTACACAGGTGAAGACATAAGTTGGAGCAGATATCAATATGTACGCATCGGATCAGTGATCGAGCGGTAATAGGAGTTACCGGTGATCCGGAAGTAAGGGTCTATGTACCAAAGGGGAATGTATATATCTAAAAGGGGAAAGAGGTTCAGTTGAATAGAGATGTTATGGAAGGGGACCGGTTGAGCGGTCGAGCAGACACGTAGGAGCGGATGCAGACGATGATTGGACAGAGCAGAGGATGGGTGGAGCGGAGGTGATCGGAAAGCAGAGCAGATATTGATATTGGAGCAGTCGGATCAGGTATATGACAGGTTTACTAAGTGTGGTACTACTGCCCTAGTAGACCACCGCCCTCACCTCTCCAGCAGTGGTGGGGAGGAGCCTGATTCTGGCCCCAGATTCACCCGCATTACCATTGTACCCCCCAGTTCTGGCATACTTTGATACCACAGCTAGTCCTATGACTATCCATTGTCACAACAGGTCCACTGCTCATAGACAAGCATATCCATATGTCATCTCTTCCAACCCCTACCTTTCTGATCTTGAAGATTGCAGACTCTGCCAATGAATCATGCTTTTGTGCCAACTCTTCACCAATCCCATCAGAGAAGCCATTGATAGAGAACCTACTCTCAATGGACTTTTTGATCTATTCCATCTGAGCAATTATCTCAAATATACCTTAGAAAGGTACCACATGCTGCATAACAAAAATGAATTGTTTTCACTAGACTATGCCATCCGAGACATCAAAGAATGACTCCAAGCAATCATGTTGATGTTGATGGAAGAACAAGGATTCTTCACAGCATTGGAAAGCTTGGGAAGAACCAAGGACGAAGACCGTCATGTCTAGTTGAAAGTCTGGGACTTTCCACATAAGAAGGGGGTGATGTTATGGCTGTGTTACATGGACTTCTTTTCTTCTTTTACCCTTGATCCACACTTACTAGGCATGTCTCTTATCAGCCTATATTTAGTTCAGCATGACTCAGATGCCTCATTGCCTACACATATTGTTTACTGATCATTTCCTATTATTATGTCATACCCTGTACCTTGTATACTATATAAACCATAGCTGGGTAATGCTGATTCTCCAACTTAACCTACACCAATTTTCCTTTGACATCTCTGACTTGATATGAGAAAGGAGTGAGCAATGGATGTTAAGTAGATTCTCTATGGAAGGTACAAGAGGTTTAGATGAGAGAATTACTGACTAAAGACTAGGGTTTATATACTATGAGGCTTGTGCATGGACCAAGACAGAAAAGGTAACTAACTAAATAGGAAGGCGAAGTGAGAAAAAGAAGCTTCATGCATAAGGGTTTCATGATAAGAGATCTGTATCTAACAATGGAAGAGAAGAGATGGAGATTAAATAGAAGATCTATCTGAGATCTATTGTGAATAGGGTCAAGGGGGAAGATCAATTGTTATGTTGATTGGAGATGGGATTGGTGATGTGAAAGGAAGAATATGGGCATAGGGCATGGGTGACTTTGTGACAGGTGGTCGTTGTGAAGTGTGATAGATGTAACAAGCATGAAGAGGTGAAGTAGTCACATGGCTTGGGCACTTAGACTTAGATGCAACATTGAGATAGGAAAAATGATTTGTTTGCAGAACTCATGACATAAAGACTACTGTCTAGAATGTATCACAAGACCAACTGTCTTGTTATCAATTGTTTGCCTGTGTTACACTTGGTGTAACACATTCAGTGAAGTACCCTTGCCTCATAAACCACCAGATTAACATAGCACTGTAAATATTTAGTTCAATATTCACTCCCACACTTGCAACATTATTCATGCCAAAACCTCACACTCAGCTCCCACTTCTCTCCCTCTTGTATCAACACCTGTACACCAATCACTCGCCTACACAGAATCACATGCCCCACAATGGTTACACTCATACAGACAGCAAACAACAGCAGGTCATCTTGGTTCACTGACCTACCTTACATACTCCATTTATAACCCAAAGATTCCTGTACCTTTGGCAGCCAAGTACAGTATAGGACCGGTCCTTTGCCCACCCCCACTCCTTTACCCACCTCAAGCAAAATTTATTATTTCTTCATTTTTTCATATCAACATATAGAAAGATATTAAAGATGAGGCCTCAATGGACATTTGTATAGTATACAATGAAGAATTGATGTCCACAATGTTGTGCATGACACAAATCAGTCAATTTTTCCATCCTGAGTGAATTTTGTTGAGAGCCATAGTACATCAATGATTTCTTTTTGAGAAAAAGTGGCTGGTACAATACAAAGTATATACTTCGGACATCATTTTCACCTGCAACAGATTTGTGAATACCTCCTTTGTTCCTTCTACAAAGTACATAGATTGAACAATGGCAGTTTTCAAAGGTCTTATCTCGGGGAGCTTGTCACACATAGTTCTCACGCTATTCAACTTTCGAACTCTAAACTTAATCACACATATCACTGACAAGCGGCAAAGTCATGGTAGGACGAGCAAAATCTAATACAAAAAAAAGGCAGATTCTACGAGAAGAACATGATATGATCATGGCCCGAGCAGTGGCCATTTACCAGGCTGAGCTTGAAAAGGAACCTACAGAGAAAAAAGGAAGACGAATGGTTTGCCGGGAAGTCAAGAAGGCATATCTCACGGAGACAGGAAGAATCATCAAACTCAGTGATAGGACACTTGCAAATCTGGCAAAAGGTGGTAGGAGGCTCAGTGACTTCAATGCAGAGAAAGGTTGGCTCACCCCAGAGGAGACAGAGAAAGTAATAGAGTATTCCATCGAGATAGCACATCAAGGATTCCTGCTCAGCCACAAACGACTCAAGGAACACGTTGATGAAATTCTGCATGCTTGACTTGGTGGTAAATTTCCTGAAATGGGTGTTGGCAAAAACTGGACGGACCATTTTGTAGAGAAGCATTCAAACAGACTGGGCACCTACTATGCTTGAGGTCTTGATAGTGCCCATGGTCATGCTGTTAACCCTGCCACAAAAGAGGCATATTTCAGCCTTCTGCATGATACTTTGTCTAAAGGAGATGATGGCAAACCAATCAAGCCCCATTGCATTTGGGCATTTGACGAGTCTGGTTTTCAAGGAGCTGATGAGGGAAAGGAACAAGTGATAGGAGTGAGTGGTGCCCATACTGTGTATGAGCAACAAAGTGGGAGCAAGGAGCTGACAACTGTCATTGTCAGTATCTGTGCTGATGGAGAGACAGCACCACCTTGTGTTATCTTCAAAGGAAAGGGTTATTGCACAAACTGGTGTCAAGAAAACCCCGCTAATGCATCATAAGCACTCTCGGCTGTTGGTCCTAGTAATTCTACTAAAGCAGTCCTTTAGCCTTGGATATTCTGCGAAAGGATGGACTGATGGCGAGCTTGGACTACTTTGGATCCAACACTTTGATGAACATAGTCGACACAAAGCCAATGGCTCTGCACGACTTCTCCTTGTTGATGGTCACTCGTCTCACTACACACATGCTTTCTTAGAACATGCACGCGCACATAACATTCATGTCTTGTGTTACCCATCTCATAGCACCCATATTTACCAGGGTCTTGATGTTGTTGTCTTCAGCAGGCTGAAAGCTTGCTGGGCGGAGGAGAAAGCCCGGTGGCAAAGAGAACGTGGCAAAGAGCTTTCAAAGCAAAACTTTTTAGCTATCTATGGACATGCTCATAACCGTGTGCTCACGACAGAGCTTGTCAAAGCCGCATTCGAGAAGACAGGGGTTCACCCTTTCAATCCAGATGTTGTTACGGAGGATGTCATGGCGCCAAGTCAAGAGATGTCATGTCATGGTCACCTGTCACTTGTTCAGACGACACCAGTCCGCATCGTGTCTCAATTGATTCGGAGGGCAACCAAAGTGCTATCTAGTCCAGCATGACCCGAGTCAGGCTCGAACCAACATTCATTAATTTCACAGCCCTTACCTTCAACACCCTTGCATGCACAACAGTTACTGTCACATGAATCTGCGCAAACGGTAGTCAATAGCTTAGGGACAACATCTGCAGCATTCCTGTTTACCTTGAGTCCTGTCTGCTCGACATCCCAAATACCTATGTACATGCCACAGACGGTATCACCACTGCAGTACAAACGGTATGGGGAATTGTTAAACCATCCTGCCAAGACCGAGGCAGAGCACAAACTCCAAGTTGCCTTGCTGGAGTCAGAGCAACATGAGGAGGAATCTAAGCATCAAACAATTGGCTTACAGGCAGCATCAGTCCTACAGATCAGATACTGTGATTGAGTATGTGGTCAGCTTGCGGCACGGGAAGACAAAGCAGGGAGGAAAAAGGGTACAAGGCTTGTTGGTGATGGCTTACCTCGTATGCTAACTGGTGATGTGTTCGTGGCACAGGTTATCACACACAAGAATGCCATGGAGGCAGAAGCCAGAGAAAAAGAAATGAGGGCCAAGAGAAGAGCAGAACATTCTGAAGAGCTTGCACATTGGAAAATGGAGGAGATAGAGTGGAAAGAACAAAACTGGGCAACAAGAGCCATTTTCGAGGCACAGAAGGTTGAGTGGGAAGCAGAACGAGAATTGGCAAAGTTGGAGAAACGGAGGTCACAGTGGAACAAACCAAAGATGGGGGCAATTGAGAAACCCGTGTCAAGGCCAGAGCGAGCTCAGCCTGAAGTTCATGAGAGCGAGCAAGAAGATGATGGGGAAGAAGAGGATTAATCTTATCGTTACCTTTTGGATTACAAATTTACGGTGTTGCATGATGTGACATCTAAATTGAGGTGGGCAAAGGACTGGTAAAGTCAAAGATAACGCTGTTTTCAACGATCTTGCTACAACACACTAACATTGATGTCAATGGCTCTCAAAATTTTATCGTAGTATTTACATGTACATTGGAATATTACTGTCTACTATGGTTTTCGAAAAAATGAGTTATTATGAAGTGGGATGCATTTCAAATGTGGTGGGCAAAGGACCGGTCCTATACTGTATGCATTATTAATTGCTATGATAGCCCACCAACACATATATACCTCATAATCATCTCATCCATCAGGATGGCACATCTAAAAAAGCTGGCAGGAATGGCAGACTGGTGGGGGTACACCTCACACATCAGGAAAAGTGCATGTTACCTAAGCTTACCTTAAACAGACTTAACTCGCACTTTAGCAACTTTGCAAAAAGGGATCTACTTTGCAAAAATTCAAACTTCAACATATTCAGAAAAAAATTGTTGAGATATATTAACATGCATGTTTTATTATAGTTCACACAAAAAAAAATGAGATATGCCAAGTGAATAATGCATGAGAGTGCAAACAGTTTTAAGCAAAGTTGATTAAGCTGATTAAGTAGAGTGCACTTTTCCTGATGCACTAGGGCATTCATGCATCCAGAGATGCAAAAGGGACACCAGGGGTCCCATAGACTAGATAGAATTGTCCTACATAGAGTACATCTCTCCCAAGGACATAAATTGGAATCAAAAAAAAATGGGGCAATGGTCTAAGCTGATCATTGTAATGACACAAGAACAGGGACCTAGGGTTTGGTTTGGACTACTCCTGGTGTACTTCCTTGGGGACCAAACAACCATAGCAGAACCCAGTCATTATGAATCACAGTGACCGCTTATAGGTAACATAATGTTGGTCTGTTAAGGTCGTGCTCAAGGGAGAGGTTACTCAAAGGGCTCGGCTTCAGCTTGTGCGCTGCGCCCCTTACCTGAGTATGTGCCCTTAATTTCCGGGGGACAGAGGGGAAGTCCGACAGAAGTCCGGGGAATTCCGGAGAACAGAAGTTGGTGGAGTTCAGCGGAACTCCAGAAGACTTATGTGGGGACGGAGTAAGGCTACTATGGAAGTCCGGAGTAGAAACAGAACAGAGGTTAGACTACCCTAAGGTAGAGCCGGAGAAGTAGTCCTAAGGTTTAACTCCTAAGACTCAGGAGGTAGACAAGAGATGAGACTCAAGTCCAGAGATTGCAGGAATGAGCAGAACTAAGATGATATTCAAACTGAGGAGTTCCGGAGTATTACAGGGGTTTATATACTGTAGGTATCATGTAAGTAAATCAGTCAGCAAAGGTAAGGGCTATGTACAAAGCATGTGGAAAGTCTATTACTAAGTGTAACAGATCAAAGCAGTGAAGTCGGAAATGAAGTAAGAATGGACGGATCAGTAAGCATAGTGGAATAGGACATAACCAGTAACCAGAGCAATAGCTAATCTAAAAGGAGCTAGGGGTGAGTGCAGAGATGAAGGCGGAGCGCTGGGCGGAATAGTAAGATGGAGGACCAGACTTTAATGAAGTAGATCCAGAATTCCAGATCCAGAGGTACGGAATATGACATGGTCCTTGAGATACCCTGTGTGGTAATTGTATGCAAAATAGGCATTGATTGTGCCAAAGAAGTTGCAAACACTGCAAAATGTTTGAACAGCCACATTTCACACCACTGGCTTATTTGCTGTACCTTACCTTCTCAAGTATCTGGAAAGCCATGACCCAGGACAGGGTCTGCAGACAAGGACATGGAAACATCTTTTCGGGTGGTGGAACTTGAGGGAGTGCATTGTTCAACTGCTGGGCGCGAGGAGGTAGGAGCTTGGCTCAGACTAATATGATGTGGCACTGAACAACTGGGTGCTACATTTCGACCATGGGCGGTGCCAGCATCCTTTGGTCATTGATACAGTGCAAAGGCGACAGGTTTGTGAGGACAGGCAGAACTGAAAGTCAACCAGTCTGATTCCTGAGAAGAATCTTCCTCAGAGGCACTGGTCAGATTGATTCTTGTAATATTTAGGTAGGTACAACCACTTAACAGATGCTGACACTGAGATGTGGAAACTTCATCAGGAAGTTGCAACCGAGGAACGAAACTTCCGAGACAGTATATAGCAACAGGAGTAAATGACGAAGGATTCAACATCACACCCAAGTACTAATCATCAATGATAATGACTTCCCCAGCTTTTACAGTACTCTCACTTCCTCTGGAGCTTCTAGAGACACTCGGAACCACACTCCCACCCCCACCTGTCCGCCGGCGTCTGGTTGCACGGTGCTCTACCTCCACAAGATCGATGTCCACTTCATTGGAAGAGCCGCGTGGACGCTTACGCGTGAGGGGTGGTCGCAGTAATTCGTCGTCGGAGTCAGAAATATCAATTGTCTCTGCAGGAGCATTCGACGAGCCTGAGCCACGCGCAGGTTGATTGGTTGGGGCACGGGATTTGCCCTTACCGGATCCAGAAGTTTGAGTTGTAGAGATTGAGGTTGAAGGTGTGGATGTGGATGTAGATCTGGAGGAGGGGACGGGGACGGGGACGGGAACAGGGACGGAGAATGTAGACGTGGATGGAATGGATGTTGGTGCGGGCGCGGGCAATCGGGCATACAGCTCTGTCCACCTCCGGGCAGTGCGGTCATGCTGTGCGCGATTTCGGACATATTCGGTTGCGATGGAGGGAACTACGTACGCGTGAAGAAACCATCATTCAGCAGAACGTGAGCAGGATGATGAATGAGCTTACCGAGAGGATCTTCTAAGAAAAAAAGGAACATTAGTCAGTCAGAATGCACGCACGGGTTGAAAGTATGTGAGCCGAAAGAAATACAAAAGGTACAATGAAAGGTCCAGGATAGCAGATAGTACTTACGCGGATTGGGATCTGTGAGAAGGGATGAGAGGGAGAGCATGACCTTGAACAGGGACAACGCAGGCGACCAGTTCTGTTTGAGAATATCAATGCATATGTTGCCCTTGTCGGATATATTCATGTGGTATATCCGGGTCGCAAAAGTGACCTTTGGCGCCGAGAAACTGCCACAAAACAATTAGCGAACACTGAGCAACAAGCTAGTTTGGGTGCCCACGGATAGTCGTTCGCTAGCTGGATATCAATGTTGAATACGCCATCTTCATACGGGCTCCCTTGGGGTCCAGGGATGGTACCTGCCCAGCGAAAGAGGTTGTCGGTGGAAGGCGCGAGGAGGATGGGACCCAGGTCCTCCTTCTTGGCATCTGCGACCTCCCGGTGGATGCGCTTTATAGTCATCTGTAATGCAGTCAATACGATAAGATAGGCTTGAGCATCAGTAGCATAACGCACGGCATTGGAGAGAGCTGGAGGCATGTTGTTTGTGGAAAAGAGAGATGAGTTGTAGAATACTTATAACACCCAGTTCCAAACATAGTGGCACTTTCGCGTGTGACTGACAAGTCCTCATCATAGTACTCACTTACATAAGCGCTGTGGCAGCCACATTTGCTCGTCGGCGTCCACACGGTGCACTCGCCGGGCCCGCATAGAATAGGACTAACGCGCTACCTCGGCCTATATTGACCTCCTTTGCGATAAGTCTGTGCAACCGATGGATATCGACCCTGTTTGTTCCGGTCATGTTCCGTCGTGCGCTGCTCGGATTTGCGGTGACAGGGCCCATCGGGAGATTATGGAATGTTCCGTCGATGTTCCGTCGATAAGTTCCGGGAATGGCTTCCCGTTGATATAAAAACCACCAAAAACCACAGCTCTATTGTGCTTCAATTGTCCTCAAGTCCACCATGGTTCATCCGCAACAGACACCACCCTACGTGACACCCCACATCTTACACAGACATTATGCCCAAGCTCATGACAATGAAAGCCATAGCAATCGTCGGTGCACCCTACTTCTATACCTCCTATCTACTAAAATTTTCAAACAGTTATTGGCCATGACCTCGAATATTTCTCGCAGGCAGGGTTTGACATGGACAAAATCCAGCTCAAGCGCAATGCCCCTGTAGCTCAGCTTTACGAAGATGCCATCCGCAACGAAGGCGCGATTATCTCATCTAGCGGCGCGCTCATCAACTTCTCAGGCAAGAAGACCGGTAGAAGTCCTAAAGACAAGCGAATTGTCTTCGAGGAGACCAGTAAGGATGATATATGGTGGGGCCCCGTGAATATCAAGATGGACGAGCGTGAGTTTTCCCCTGTTGAATATTGGTTTATTTTCTTAGCATTTGTTGTTAGATACGTTCGAGATCAACCGCGAGCGTGCCATTGACTATTTGAATACGCGCGACAATGTCTATGTCTTCGATGGTTTCGCTGGCGTAAGTCTTGTGTTGAACTGCTTGGGCTTCGCACGACTCACTGCTTTCAGTGGGATCCCAAATACCGTATCAAAGTTCGGGTGATCTGTGCCCGTGCTTATCACGCACTTTTCATGGTACGTGACCGCAATCACGTATGTTTCCTTTACTGACAACCCGGAAGAACAACATGTTGATCCGCCCGACTGAGGAAGAGCTCGCGAGTTTTGGCGAGCCCGACTTCATCATCTACAACGCTGGTCAATTCCCTGCGAACCGCTTCACCAAGGGTATGTCATCCACTACGTCGGTGGAGATTAACTTCAAGCGTATGGAAATGGTTATCCTCGGCACTGAGTACGCCGGAGAGATGAAGAAGGGTGTCTTTTCCGTTATGCACTACCTTCAGCCCGTGAAGTTCGGCCAACTCTCCCTTCACTCATCTGCCAATGTCGGAATGGAGAAGGGTGATGTTACCCTGTTCTTCGGTCTCTCTGGAACTGGAAAGACAACTCTTTCCGCTGACCCCAACCGCCTTCTTATCGGCGATGACGAACACGTGTGGTCAGACACAGGGGTGTTCAACATCGAGGGAGGATGCTACGCCAAATGCATCAACCTCTCGCGCGAGAAGGAACCGGAGATTTACAACGCCATTCGCTTTGGCTCCATTCTGGAGAACGTCGTGTACGACCCTGCATCGCGCATGCCGGATTATGACGACGTTAGCATCACGGAGAACACACGCTGCGCATACCCGATTGAATACATTCCAAACGCCAAGATCCCATGCATGGTAGACAGACAACCGAGCAACATTATCATGTTGACGTGCGATGCGTTCGGTGTCCTCCCACCAGTCAGTAGACTTTCCCCCGATCAAGCAAGCTACCACTTCCTCGCTGGTTACACCTCGTGAGTGTATCCTTGCTTCCGTTTATGCCACTCGCTAAGTTACCCTCGTAGTAAAACGCCTGGCACGGAAGATGGCGTCCTCGAGCCAATCCCGACTTTCTCAACCTGTTACAGTGCTCCCTTCATCGTGTTACACGTGAGTTTTCGTCTCTCCCTGGGGAGCCTCGAACTAATTTTGTTGCGGCTCAGCCTGGACGCTACGCAGAAATGCTGGCCGAGCGCATGTCCAAACACAACGTACCCTGCTGGTTAATCAACACAGGCTGGACAGGTGGCAAGTTCGGCACGGCTAAGCGTTGTCCACTCAAGTACACCCGCCGCATCGTCGACGCTGTTCACTCTGGAGAGCTTCTCGACAGCGAATACGAGACATTCGGCGTCTTCGGGCTCCAGATTCCTACCGCAGTGGAGGGTGTTCCACGTGAAGTGCTCAACCCACGTTTGGCCTGGGCGGACAAGGAGGCTTTTGAGCGCGAGGTTCGCAGGCTCGCTGGCATGTTCCAGAAGGCATTCAAATTGTACGAGGGTGATGTGCAAGAAAGCGTGAGGTTGGCAGGTCCACGGGTGGATTAGAGTCGTTCCCTTCCTTATTTTTATGGTTTAATTATATATGTAAGGCGGCTTTAGTGATAGGCCCATCCGTACTTAGAGCTATCTACTGTACTTCGTCATATATACCTGGACAAATTACTTATTGGCCTCAAGGACTTCTGCTTCATCATGATCGTTGTTTGCGTTGCGCTGTACTCCTGCTTGGTTTGGGTCACGTGGTTGTTTATGGGAGTCATAAATTAAGGTCAGGACGGTTGACCTGGACGAACGAAACGCGATGATCACTCGAATACACTGAACAACTAATTTGTTTCTCTAAACTTGTATCAAGTCCATCTTGCCTGCGAGATGTTCGGTGAATCAGACTCGGAGAGCCCACGAGTGCCATCCCCATGGGACTCACTCACTTCCGTCCCTCCAAGCACCTCCACACAACGAAATCCTTCGACGAGGCATTCCGCAACTAGTTCCAGAGAACGAAGAGGTTCGTTTTATTACCCCTTGTTCGACCTACATGCGCTAATATCGTTTATACCATGGGCATTTCACATCGCAGGGTAATGTAGAGTACAAACTTCATCTCCTTTCCCCTTCCCCCTCTCGCTTCACCCGCCTTGTCACACAGCTCAAATGGCGTCTTCTGGAAGGCGGCGGACAGGCGTACTATGAGCTCGGTGTTGCCGACTCTGGCGTACTCATAGGGCTGGGGAGACAAGAGATGGAGGAGACATTAGGCACCCTCGAAGAAATGGCTGGCGAGATCGGCGCCAGCGTGATAGTAGTGAAGGAGATCGAGGTACCGGCGGAGGTGAGCGGAGTTGTCGAAGACTGGGGTGGAGATGGACGCAAACGAAGGAGACAGAGGCAATTAATGGGTGACGACTCAGAAACCACAACGACTACGGAGACAGAGCCAGAGCCAGAGACTACTGACGTGGACGATGATCCTCCTCCAACAAACAACCATGTAGAAATGTTCTGCATGGACGAAGACGGTGACTCGTCATTAGACAGCGCGGCGTTTATCCTGGACCTTGAGATTGCGACCGTGTACAAGCCTCGCCCATTCCGCCGCCGTGTTGCGAGCACCGTGCAAGGCTATTCGGATAGGCGCAAAGGCAAGGGCAAGAAACCTAAGCATTTGCTTGCGCATACCTGTACCCAGCCTAATTCACATTCCGAGCATCATACGCATCACTCACACCACTCTAATATCCACAATCATCCAGACTTTACGCACTCAACTGAACCTCAAACCCACTTAACGTCCGAAAACAAGCAATCCAAGCGCCGCGCCGCGAGAGACAAACGACGCGAAGCCAAGCATAATCCTCTTCTCCTACATGTTCCAACTACATGCATTCATGCCGACGAGCTGGTCTCTGGCTTGGAATCTTTCCATGTTACACTTGAGCTTGAAGACTTGCACCCGGCATCCGCATCTCCTGAAGTCGAGACCTCCGTGCACGACGATGCGCACCTCGATTCCCCTGCCCAAACACCGGCACCTGAGACTTTTATTTCCCAACCTGACCCCAGTGTCATCGAAACACACTATGGGCTGCACCCTCCTATCATTGCGGAACCATATCAACAAACCCAGCCCGTTACAAACGAACCGGAGTCCCCAACTGAAATTATCTTAATATCATCCAAGTCTCCTGCTGCTGAACTTGAGACAGAGCCTCGCCTCATCGTCGAGGCGCTTGTGGTTCGAAAGATGTCACTGGAGGAGGCATTTCTGGACTTTGGAGGGTTCTCAGTGTGTTGATACGAGTATGTTGGCGCGGACTTGTAGCACTATCTTTTTTGTGCGATTTCTGGGACTGATTTATTGTATTGCATGTATCGTATTATCATTCGTGGCCTATGCACACAATTAGAGGAATGGAGCATGGCTTCCCATATAACAATGTGATGGGGGTGTAAACAAACGTAAATTATCCTTCATGGTTGAAGTGTTACCTCAGGACAAATTCCAGGGGATACTACTTGCGCGGAATTTTGGCTTGGTGATTTCCGAACAAAACGTAGGTCGAGCTAAGGATAGGGTGACCATGCCTGGCAGATCGCCACCGCACTCAGCCCTGAACTAATGCCCAAACCTTGCTTGCCGCCTTATTCATCGTATCTCGCCACACCTCTCCCGCCTTGCCGTCCTTTCCACCTTCCAGGACGTATGGAATCCCGCGATCTCCACCCCAGCTTACACCCCCAACTAGAGGGAGTTGCGCCAGGAGTGGGATCCCTAGGCGCGATGCATTAGTTGGAGGTCCAAATAGCTCGTGCGCGGTGTTGCAAGAAGGACATAGGAAGGACGCTTGGTTGAGAATGAGACCCGATATCTGCACATGGCAGCGGACAGCGAGCACAATGAGGGTGAAGCCGAAAGAGTAGACGAATATAATTCTTACCGGAACAGAAATCTTTTTGAACATAGAAATACCTCTTCTCACATCCGTCAATGCGACATCCTGCGGGGTCGAGACAATAACTGCGCCTATTGCATTTCAGAACGCACACGACATGTCAAATAGCTCATCGAAGAATACGGACCGTCAACAACGACTAATTGTCCCAGTGTAAGAGGAACGTCTCCCGTCCCTGGCGGCATGTCTATGATCAACACATCCAGCCCGGGACCAGATCCCCCAGCATCCCGCCAGTCAACATCAAAGAGAAGTTGCTGCACGGCTTTTTGAACCATGAGGCCACGCCAGACGATTGCGCCTTCGAATTCTGTAGAGTCGGGTGGTGGCCGCGGGACAAGATATCCCATGGACATGGTAGGAATGCCATGATTTGTTATGGGGATGAGAGCGCCAGCTAGTAGTAACAGAGTCACCTAGAGGGTCACAGTGCGTGCCAGAAAACGCACCAGAAGTTAAGAGTGGGTCGTCTGAATGCTGCAATCCCATCAAGGTGGGTACAGAAGGTCCAAAAATATCCAAATCAAGTATGCCAACTCGCGGTCGATGAGGCAGCATTGCAAGGGAAAAGGCAAGATTGACTACATTCGTGGTCATTCAAAAGGTGTGTTCAATTAGTACTACTGGGACGTACCTGCTATTGTGCTTTTGCCCACGCCCCCTTTTCCGCTTGCTACAACGACTGCCTTCTTTACGTGCGGTATACGTCGTTTCTCGATAGGCCCGCCGCGTCGGGGCATTTGGGGTGCAGGGGGCGAACGAAACGGGAGGCCCTACTAGGACGCATCATCAGACACGCAGACATGCGAACTGCGAACTTACCAAAGGATTTTCATGGCTTCGACTCGTAGTAGATGTAAAACTGCGCAGAGGCGTACCACAGCGTCGTAATAATTTTGAGGTGAACATGATTCAACTCTGAATTAGCCGGCTGTCACTATGTCAGATAGTCGGACCCCGTAAACCCTGTTCAGCTGCAGGCTTAGATATAATTTTGCAGAACGCGTCATCCTACGAATTCAATATCTTGTCTTTGACCTTGAATTATGGTGAGTTTATTCAACAAAGGGATATCAATGATTGACTTGGATTGCAGGAAGTTGATCCCTTGGCCGATGCCCTTCCACCGCGCTATGCCATCGAGTCCGATGATGAGGACGAATACAACCCACTAGGCTCCACTCGCCAAGCAGCTGATCAGGTCCCAATTGTAAACATAAAAATCGAAGGCCAATTCACCACTGGTTATCCCCTTGTTATCGTATCAGGCCCTGCAGGGTATTTTTGGGCCGATGGCGCAAACCTAGGGGAACAGCAGGGCGCCATATTTGTCAATAATATTCAGGTTGGTACATGCTCTAGTTGTTGAATATACGGACACGAATCAACTATCGTAGGTAGGATTGCTGTTTAAGCCCTCGTCAGCCCGTGCGGTTGTACTGGTCTCCGAAGCTACTACGGCGCTGCCTTTATGGTCGATGAACAAGTATGCGAATGATATCCTGGATCGCCTCCAACCATCATCGCAAGTCTTCTGCCAGCTGCGCTAACAAAGCTGACCGTCTCAACCTTTCAGCATTTCAATCCTCGATGTGTATTCCGTCCAAAGCTACATTTCATCAGAACTCTTGCCCGTGCATGAGTCACCCGTTCGCTATTTGTCTCTCCAGAACATATCCCTGGTACGTATAACATCCATACCAGCGATCTTCTAAGCGAACCATTTTCAGAATCCCTTCCAGACTTTCGCCCCTCCGAACATTCTCCAGTCGGCATCGGCAGCATTCATGTCTGCAATGAACATACGCACTCTTTCTTCGTCGCATCAAAATAATGCTGTGGTTCTACTCCTTCCATTACCAGGAATACCCCGCACCGCGCCATCCAAACTATCACCTAGTAGACTTTCACGTCCATCAGGGGACCCAGCATGGCCTGTTGAAATGATGGTGGAAGTAGACGAAAGGCTGTTTGAGGTTGTCGGCGCGAAACGATCCGGTACTTGGGCACTCAAAAGTACGCCTGCAGGGAGCGCGAGTTTGACACAAAAGAGGCGGAATTTTGCAGAGGTCGGTGAGGGTGGAATGTACATATGATATGCAAGCAGTGGGCATTCGGCAAAGCTCAAATGAAAAGGAAAATGCCTTATAACTCATAACTCGTTCCATCTATACCTGAGTCGAGGATTATGTAAGCCAGCATGTACTACTGGTGAAGTCAATGTCTTTCAGAACATTGACAGAGCAGCCATGGTAAGTCTCGCGTTAAAACGCCCGTTCACGTCAATTTTAACCGATTATAACAGAGTGACAACGCAGGTCAGCTCTTCCGCGTTATACGGCCAGTACATCGCGGACTGATCACCCAACAGAATACAAGGAGGCCTTCGCGCTCTTCGACAAGAAGGGTGCAGGCGCTGTTCCACGAGAGACACTAGGCGATCTCCTCCGCGCACTCGGCCAGAACCCAACCCAGGCTGAAGTCACCGAGATCATCGCGAATGCACCACGAGAAGGTCAGTTGGACGTCTATGATTCGTGTTGGCGCTGGAACAATTTACTTGTGGCAGTTGACTACAAGACATTTTTGACGATCCTCAATAGACCAGACGGATTCAAGCCTGCAGGAACACCTGGTACGTATCACATCATTCATTATAGGATAACAATCCATTGATCGTTATGTAGAGGAGTTCATCCGAGGATTCCAGGTGTTCGATAAAGAGGGGAACGGTTTCATCGGGGCTGGTGAACTGAGATATGTGCTAACGCAGCTTGGCGAGAAGATGTCGGACGAGGAGGTCGATGAGTTGCTCAAGGGCGTTCAGATCGGCCCGTAAGCTTACAATCTTTATTCGCTAGCGTACTCGGCTAACCACATACTTCAGCGACGGAAACGTAAACTACGAATCATTCGTGCGCACGATACTCAGTCAATAATCACGATACCTCGTATTACATCCACGCCTGGACCTTACTGTATCTATTCCATATCAAACTCTACGTCCGTCAATAAAGAAGTACAACAAAATCCATTATGACTAGAGTTCTACTCACTCTCTGACTCATACTCGTCGTCAGAGACCTGTCCATTAGTGGAGACATGTGCAGTAATCAATTCCATGACAATCTGCTCTCCATCTCTCAGACCTATCTCTGTCAAAGACGTATTCGCCTTCCACCTAAATTCCCTCCGCGGGTATGCTGAAGCAAGTGTAAAGCCCCACCACGCGTGTCCTGCCGTCTGGCTCAGGATATAAGAATCAAGCTGTGGGATATCACCAACAACTCCCTCCGGCGCTTGCGAAGGATCATCTTCTGGGCGAGAAGTAGGCGGGATAAGCTGTGAGTCTGCAAAGGCATAGAGTGAAGTAAGGGTTGCCGACGGAGGAAAACTGCGGACAACACGTCCGTTGCCAGGGAGTTTGATGGCCAGCCTCAAGCCGCGTGCTTCGGGTACAAGGAGAGATTTGCGCATGAACTTTCTCCACTCCATACGTATTCCGGCTTGATGCTTCTGCCTCGCCGAATCCTCCTGCTTTCTCTTTACGTCTTCTGCTAGCCTTCGTGCACGTTCCTCCTCCTCCTTTTCCTGCCGTATTCTCGCCTCGATAGCCTCACGATCTCTACGAGTCGCCTCCCTGAACGCGCGATCTTGCTCCTCACGTATGCGCCGATCACGGTCGCGGTCTTGGAGCGCCGTTTTGAATCGTACGAGGAATGGTGTTACACGTGGAAGTAGCTGTGTATTGAGATGTTCGATTAAAATAGGAGCAGTCGTGGCTGCACGACCCTGGTGACGTGATAGGATCGTGACGACCGGGGAAGAATTGGAAGAGGCGCCATGGCGTCTAGGTTGAAGGGCGAGGAAAGCCACAAAAGGATACGTAGTCGCTTGTAGTTTTTGCGAAGCTGGACAAGGCTCTATCATTGTAGAAGAGACATTAAATGGAACGTACCATCCCATGCAGCTTTCTCTCGGACATCTCCGCCCCAAACAATGAAATTGTTATCCAGTAAAAGCTTGACGAAGCTTGCGTCGGTCAGGGTAGACCTGTGCGCGGAAAACGATGTGACGATATAAGCCGTGTGAACGTAAACGCTACACACCTCTTAAACTCTGCATCGTCATCGTGCTCAGCGCTCACGATGACAACGCATGCTATCCGTCCTTCTCTTTGGCAAATGTCAAGAACATCTTCATAACTGCCATCAAAGAAATCTGGCAGCACTTTCTGACTATCATCCGAGGCGGCAGGTGGATACGTATGACGTCTTGTAGTTGACGGCCCTGCCTCGAATCCTGTGGTGACGGCATTCGCCATCGAACGTTTTGACGAGCATGCACCTGTTTCTTCCTCCAGTTCTTGCACCCACCTCTGTGTGATGCTGCGTGAATCCGAGGAGACGGAGCGGTGAGAGTGGTAGGAATTGGTTGTCATGAATGGTAGGGACGGGATTGGTATCCGGAGAACACCAAACACGAAGCGCAGCACGCCAGACACGAGGTGCAATGGAACAGCGAGTATAGACCATATGAAGCTCCAATTTGACCGCTGGTTCTGAAAGGGGTGTCATCAGTCATAGACGGCTAGAAGACGGAACATCCGTACGCCCTGACCACGTTGAGAAGGTCGGATTGCAGGTGACGAGTCTTCATCGATGTCATGAAACTCGAACTGTGCCATTGGAGTAGTTTGGATTGGTGGTTCTACAACTCGAGGAGGTTCATTGTCGAATAGCAGGTCTGTGGCTTTCTACGGGACCGCGTTCAACGCAAAATATGGCAAGTTATTACAGCGCTCACTTGAACATCCCATGCAACGCTTTCAAGAACGCTGACTACGAATTCCGTGTCATGTGGACCAAGAATACTTTGCAGCCGCTGTAATGCTTCAAGTTGAGGGGCTTCAAGTCCGTCCATAGAGGATTCTAAAGAGAAGAAGAACACGCAGCAAGTAAGCTTGTTTTGTGACCCTACTCGGTCACGTGGCACTAGCTTTTTTTGCGATCACACCTCGAGGATACATGTACAGTGGCATATTGATCATCTAAAGATCACTAATACATGCCGCTGAGATGAGCCAAGTCGAGTCAGAAAATGCTAATCGCCACGGCAAAGAAGGTATGTTTCATGTCACAGTAAACGCTATCTGGTCTTATGTGATATCTATAGAGCCTCTTACTGGTCATGAATTAAGACATATAAAGGATGCAGCTGATCTCTACCAGTCTGGCTCATTCAAGCTTCAGGTCTGCCCACGTATTTTAGTAACGCCTCGTCAAGCTGACCTTTTCTTAGATTGACGCTCTTCTTCCCAATGTCCGACCGAAAGAGTCAGGCCGACAGCAGCTCGATGCATTTCTTCTGGCTCTGCGCTCTCATTGCCTTTCTCTCCCTTCTATTGCACCTCAAAATGCTTTAATGGCCGCAAAAGCTCTCGCTAAACAAGGTATCGCCGTTCCATTTGCGCACCCCCTCCCCCCTCGAGATGCCAAGTGGAAGGTCGCATTTGAGCCTCCAAGCGAAATCTGTGTTGTCGGAAGTTGGGGAAATGGAATCCCCGTCAAAAAGAAAAATGGTAGTCGATTTGGCATCGACCTATCTATGGAGATGCCCGAGGTGCGCTATTAACCCACTCGTGCCGCTTACCGCTGAACGAAATGTGGCAGACTCTCTTTCAAGAAAAAGATTACCTCGATGGACGCTTCTTCCACAAGAGGTCATACTACCTCGCTGTTTTAGCCCGATCTATTTCAACCACCTTTGACGTTGACACCTCTTACTCATCTGCGCTCGGCGATCCTCGTCTCACCACGCTGGTCCTTAGGCCACGAAAAGGCATGTGTAATTATTCATTTTGAGAACAGTGCGATAACTGACATCCTTGCAAGGGTGTACATCTCACGATTTTTCCAAAAGTCACGCCGAAGTTCATGTTATCCCTGTCCTTCCGTCACCAAGTCCATTGCCGCTTCCGAGGCTCTCCCCCTCACATCCGAACGTTCGCATATCTTCGTCCTCATCCTCATCCTCATCACCTTCCCCTACCCCGATCTACAACAATGCGATCCTCCTTTCCACATATCCAAAACTCGCCCTCTTGTCCACTCACGAACTCAAAAATTCATTGCCAGCATTTCATGATGCTCATACTCTTTTAAGAGTGTGGGCCAACCAGCGAGGTTATGGCGATGGCGAATTATGCATGAGAGGCTTTGAAGGAAAAGGCTCATTTTGGGCCGGACTACTACGGTATTTGATTTCGGGCGAGGAACCCATGGGCACGAAGAGTGGAAACTCAAAATTGAGGAGGCCGCTTGGAAAGGGATTAAGCTCTTACCAATTATTCAAAGCTGCGCTCGATTTTCTTGGTAGGCTCTTTGTTCTTCCCTGTCATGACAATAGTTGATAGGGAACTTAGCAAAGCAGAAGTTCGGCGAGACTCCAGCATTCACGAAGACGATTGATGGACACAAGGTATGTTTCTGTATACTGATAGGAACTTTGTGTATCGATGTTTCTTTTTCTAGTATCCCGCAGATGAGTACATTACCCACCACCCAGCTGTATTCGTGGATGCAACATCTACTATCAACTTCTTGTCTGACGTACCTCTCACCTCCCTTGACCTGGTGAGTTTCGCTGCCTGGGTCTGTAAATTCGTGCTGCTGACTGTCAATCGTCAAGCTAAGTCACGACGCCAAAGAGACACTGGAGCAATTAAACAACCCTGGTACATCTGATGACACGTTCGCTGAATGTTTTCTGAAAAGTCAGTTCAATCTCTCCACTCGCTTCGATGCGGTGATAAGGCAAGCGTTTTTTCTTCTTTGTACATTCGATGATCTTCACGTTTTTCAGAGTTGACCTGTCCCGAGCTTCTCGCAGCCAGTCTGCTTTGGCTCTCGTAGAACATGGGTCTTCTGACGCAGCCGTTCTGGCTTCTATGTCATCTATCCTACGCCGAGGTCTCGGTAACCGCACCCAAGCGATAGCCATTCTGCAGCCTGGTACCCCTCGCCGCCCCATATCGTCAGCAGAAAGCCCCGACACGTCCACGATCCACATCGGGCTTATTTACGACCCTGCTCATGCCTTCCGTCTTGTTGACCACGGACCTTCTGCGGAAGATCAAGAGTCAAACATTGCGCAGGAGTTTCGGCATCTATGGGGCAGTCGTGCTGAGCTCCGTCGATTCAAAGATGGTCGTATTACAGAGAGTGTTGTTTGGGAAGTCACGACGTCCGATGAACGTGCACATATCCCTGCTTCCATCGTCCGATACTTGCTGCAACTCCATTTTGGCATTCCTGCCGAATCCGCGACAACGTTGCAAACACCATTCGATAACATGCTCCGATTGCCAGACGATGTCCGTCGTTTGCATCGAGCTGCAGGTGGGCATAAAGCTGCGATAACAGCATTTGATGATGTTGTTAGGAATCTGAAAGCGCTGGACGAGCAGCTACCACTGGCGCTGCTGAATGTCAGCCCCATATCTGACTATCTGCGGTATACCTCGACATTTGCTCCACTGCCAATTCCTACCTCGGATTTGATAGCATTACCCGAGTCCTTGCGTTTCCTTCCAACCATCCCCATCATCCTCGAATTCGAGAAATCATCCAAATGGCCGGATGACTTGAAAGCGATTCAAAAAATCAAGCTCGCTTTCTTCGAAATTATCGCACAGTCACTTATGGCTTCAAATCCCGAACTCAAGGCGTCCGTTGCTATCGGCGATAGCTCAAACCCATTTCAAGGATGCGCGACACTAGAAATATTCACCGCTGAAGGCTGGGCGTTCTCTGCATCGATTTGGCATGATCGAGAGGCGACTTTGCTTGATCGAATTATTGACTCCAGCAAGGCGTTCGTCACACCTAGCGACCAAAAATACAGCGTGCGGGAACAACGCGAAGCCAAAGCCGCTCATGATCTCTACACCCGGAGATTCATTCATGCCCCACGACACCATCATGCCATTGCCAATCTTTGCCACAAATATAGCGCATACTCCGGAACCGTCCGCCTCGTCAAGCGTTGGCTTGCCGCCCAATGGCTTTTGCAAACTCACATCTCAGAAGAGGTCATCGAGATCATCTGCGCACGGCCATTCCTCGGTGGAAAACAAGGATCGACAGAAAGCGCTGCTACTGTGCCTCATAGTAAAGAACGCGGTTTCTCCCTCGTCTTAGAATTCTTAAAGGATTGGACGTGGGAAGAGCCTCTCTTGATTCCACTGTACGAGGATAATGCCCCGGCACCGGCACCTGAAGTGTGGACATCGAATGGTCCAGATGCGGTTGCTGTCCGCCGTCTTCGCGCATTTGCTAAGCAGGCCATTAAAGTACTCCACGATGCCGAGACGGACTCGGATATCAAGGTTAGACGACAGACTGTCGTGTTATGGCATAATTAACGTCCTCCTTTAGTGTCTATTCTTACCTTCCACCGACGACTACGATATTATCATCAAACTGAACCCTGCCGTTCTACCAAGGTACTACCAAAATATCAACGCAGAATCGAGTGTTTGGACTAGGGACACTCATTTGGGCATAATCGAGTCGACGCCTCGCCCAGGATTTGATCCTCTTCCTCTGTTCCTCGCCGATCTGCAGGTATGCCTCATCGTATGGCCGTAGGGTCCCTCTAAAACTCTTCTGAAACAGAGCACGTTCGCAAACACGTTGAAATTTTTTGCTGATCCCCTCGGAGGTGACTGCATTGGCGCAATTTGGCTTCCAGATCTTGGGGCACCCCGCCCCTTCCGTGCACTAGCAGGTTTCTCGAGCAAACCGTTCCCCAAGGTATGCCGATCTCATTGAACCATATTTTCATGAAACTAATGGTATTCGGTAGGAGGATAAAGCAAAGGACAAGGAATTCGTCGTGTTAAATCGACAGGCCGTTCTGGATGATATCGGGAGATTAGGAACAGGTCTGGTTACAAAAATTATTGTACATGAACACATGTAGCGATCATTATGCACGTGTATTCTACAAGCACTACGGCGAAAGCCACAATCCTATAATATGACGGGTGAAGGAAGGGAACAAATTGAATGCCAAAGAAAGCGTGGCCCTTCACGTCAAATATGCCGTCTGCCGGATGATACCTTTTGCTTCTTCCGATCGCGGCGTGATACTGTATTTGAATGATTAAGGGTGATTATGTCTCGTGAGGTCATTCACACTGACCAGATCATGGCTGATTGGAACTTAGCCGAAATCTCCACCGGCATACCATTATCATCCAATGCAGGTGCAATATTAAATACCGTCAGGATGCAGGCCACAGAAATCCAAATTTGCGCGTCGGCCATAAATCGTCCAGGGCATATTCTGTGATCGAGATGGTTCGATGATATGCAGTGTGAAACATGTGTTGAACTTACCTTTGACCATAACCGAAGGCTGCAGCTGCAGGATCAATAACCATTTCATGTTCTTTGCCATCAGCCATAAGGAAACGCTCTGGCCAGAACTTCATTGGCTGATTGTAGTTCCGTTCGTCATGAAGGATGGCCCTTATAATCACTTCAGCAGGGTTGCCACTCGCTAATGCACACCCATTTTACCACGTATTTCCAAAAATTGTCGTGCCAGCAGGAATAAAATAACCGTTATAGGTATCGTCGTTGGTGACCATGTGGGGTAAGCCTTTGACATTTGATTCTAGGCCCGAGATGAACATTGCTGCAACCTTGACTCACCGAGTGGAGCAACAGGGTTCCACCTCAGGACTTCTTTGACAATGGCGTTGATATAGGGCAATGATGATCTGTCGTTATAACCCGGGAGTCGCCCGGGACCAATGACGGCATCAAGTTCCGCTTGAGCCTTGATTTGCACCTCGGGATGCAGGGTCATGGCGAGGAAGAAAGAAGAGAGGGAGGACGCGGTCTGTCAAGAAGGTCAGACTGCATATTGGCGTACGGCGAATGGATGCATACACTCTCAGCACCAGCTGTATAAAAATTATCCGATGAGTCATAAGAGCTTGCCTAACGGCGAATTGCATACCAGCATATGCAAGACCAGCGCACCCCTTGATAATCTCCATTTGATCATCGGCATATACTTCACTGTCTAAGTCGTTCATAAGACGAGATACGAAACAAGGCGAAGCAGTTCCATTCGCCTAAAATGATTAGCTACTGAGCGACGACAACCACCCTCCAACTCACCAACGCCTCTTGTACTGCCTGGAATGGTAGGTCACGCATTGAAAGTACGGCCCGCTTCCATGCCGCAGCCTTCTTCTGAAATCCTGCGCCAGGCACCCATGCAGGAACATGTTTGACTTTCGTCGAGGCTCAATTAATTTCCTCACGGGCTGGCAGAAATGTACGCACGAAGAGGGAAAATATCGACGAGGAATGCTCCCAGCGCTGCCACTTTAGCCATTCCATCGAGTGCCTCCTCTGCAATCTCGATGTACTTGTCACCTCGTGGGGCAATCTCAATTCCGTAGATCACTTTCATGATAACACTCCCTGCATTGCTATCAACAGAGTTCAGTGGCCAACAGTGAGACTCGAAGATAGTCGCGCTCACTGGCGTAGATGCTCTCTCAGATCACCCGGAGTCTCCAAGATGTTGCGGATTAGCCTATGAGCCTCTTTCCTCTGAGTAGGCCAATACGTCGGTGCCATTGCTGGCCGAAATTGACGCTCAAACATCTTACGATGCTTCCTCCAGCGTTCCCCTGCATTTTTCGCGTCACGGTGACGATGTCATGATGGCTGAACGTACACGTACCATATGGCATGTGGCCGAAGCTCCACTTCCACCCCATACTGAATGTCACACCGATTAGTCGAGCTCGATGCCCCAACCAATCGGATGTTCACTTACAGGTCATTGATCATCGGCAGCCCATTTCGGTCAGAATAGTTGACTGATCGCTTTTCAAACAGGTCATTCGCGATCTGCAGCGAGTTTACAAATAACAGGTGACGCCCGAGTACATTCGCATAGACCAAGTCCCCTGTGGCTCTCCCTTCAACATTATGTTTGTGAGTAAGTGCCATCACGAACCATGTTCCTTTGCCCATTTGTTGTAGGTCGCAGCCTCGTCCTTGAATGGAAGGTCACAGAGGTTCCCAATGACGGGGAGCGGCTTTGGACCTGGGGGGAAGCGACGGCTCTCTGGCTTCTTGTTGCGCACGAAGACGATTGTGCAGAAGGCTCCGAGAGCAGCGAATAGCGCAAGCACAGGAGTCGAGGGCATTCTCTGATCGCGGGACCGCACCAGAGCAAATAGAAAAGCACAAGACAATTCCGAGGATAGCGGATCCAACATAGATCTTATACTGCATGGACGGTCACACCTGTATGATCCCGGAACAACCGTGTCCGCAGCCAGGGAATTCAATTCATGAACAATGATACGCCGAACGCAAATGCGATGCGCATTGTCGGAGTCCTGGTCCCACAACTTTAGTACATGACTCATCTCCGCTCAATGATCAGGGTTGGCCACAAGCTTTCAGCACAGTAGCTGAGACCTGATAGTTTCTTGGCACGCCCTGGAAATGATAAGAATACACAGGGATAAAGTTGTGTCCATGCACTGCTCCAGCCCCCGGCACTGTGGGACTAGTCTAGTTAAGGTCCGATATCAGAATGCAAACTTCAGGCCTCTCACTCGTGGAAAATGACAATATATCGCGACGGATCTCAAGCTGGCAAGAATTTAATAATTAAGGAATAGACTCCGCTCCGAGTGACAACCATTTCTGGTGCTGAAAAATCAATCAGCGTGACCTCGATAGGCGCCAACTTCTTCCACTTAGTATTAGCTCGATCCATTTCAACCACTTTTTACTGTATCTGCTTGGAGATCAACCACGTTGGTGCTCAGATCGCGAAAGGTATGTATAATTATTCATGAATAACAAGGGAGTGCACCTCGTGATTTTTTCAAAAGTTATGCCGAAGGTTGATCATGTTATTACTGTCCTTCGGGCCCACTATCAAGGCCAGTAATAGTACACCACCACTGGCAAGGCTCTCCCCCTCACATCTGAACTTCATCCGCATAACTTCGCCCTCAATCACATAGCGAAGGAAATCATGCCAGCATCGAGCTAACAATTGGCCGAGGACCTTCAAGACATTCCACCTAGCCAAGAACAGTATCAGTGACTGGGATTGAATGGCAAGTATCAGCAAATATATCATAGTGAGTCGATTGCATCACCAACCTAAATTAGTAGTGTGACCCACGAAATAGACTCTGGTCAGTCACGAATAGACGGTAAGGGATATTGGTGAGTTGATTGCCAATCGCGATTCGCCAGCCTAAACTTGAACAAGCGAACACATATATGTGAGTGAGGTGTCAACGTATACCTAGCATCTTGACGTTCACGTTCTTCCCAAGTCTGCAGATATTATTACACACTCTAGCCTAATAGTTTTCGCCCAAGTACATGTCATAGTTGGCACTAGTATCGTCTGGAAGAGAATCAAATTGGCGTGCATTCTTAGCAGTGAAGCGCTTGCCTTTACGATCACGATGGAAGCTGACTAGGCGGCGAAGCGAGATTTTCTCGAATCACGACGGCCCCAGTAATGCCAGCCTATAAATCCCCTGCCTCTTAATATCGCTTCGCCTCATCCCCTTCAACAAACTCTGTGATGTTTACTTCCCGCTTCATCACCTTTGCGCTGCTTATCTTCCTAGTTCGTGCCTACGCAGATGCATCGTGCATGGAGACACAGACTTTTGACAATAAGAGGCACACGCTCACTGGTAGCACGTCAACACCTTGCACGTGGGTCACACTCGCGCATCTTCATCGAACAAAGTGATTGATGAGCCGCACATCCCGCTTCATCATCCTTACGCTTCTCAGTTACGTCTCTGCAGCGAAGCTTGAGACATGCGTAACGTGTCCAGTCACAGTGGGTGGCTATAATCTATCCAATAACACTACAGACACGGATGGAAACATGTTAGCAATCACCAGAGCGGCGGCGATTTATTCGTCGGCCCAGGGTCGTCTATAACCGCGGAATTGTGTCCACTTGTGTCAAGGAAGAATGGGGATGGGTGTTGAGCAGGATGTGAAGAGGTAGGCGAGGCGAGACACCCAACAGGAGGAGCAATGCTCGTCTGCAGACAGCTGGGCGTATCCTAGTAGATCGTCATCTGTTACAAGAATTACCTTCATTCACGTCTTGCCTCGACCAGTTTCGTCATCCTCACCCTAAATATCCGTCTTCATGATAACGGTACTTACTAAAATCATCCCGACAATCAGCCTATCAATCAACCACGTTGGTCCGCTCGCCACACCTGGCTTAGAACGTCTGATAGACCACACCCGACCATCTCAGCACAGCGCGGAATTGACAACGCACATATCCGATTCAACATTCAGTGTCACTCCCCCTTTTTGGGCCCTTGAGAAGTCCCATTCGAAGTATATATCGTCATCACCATCGTCTGGCGGGGAGAGACGTCCCAAGTAGAATATCGCTATGTGGGATTGATTACCAAACGTTAGGAACTTCAAGGGTAAGTCAACTCGTACGGATGAGAACGTCCTGGACGATATTTCACGGCGGGCTGTTCACGCGCAGCAGTATCATCAGGATCAGCCACGCAACGACCAGCGGAGGAATCTTTGTGCTCGGGCATACATTGGGACCCGTCCAGTATTTGTCAAGGCGAGTGAGCTCGGGAGAGAACCGCAGGTTCTAGTATAGAAGGGACGACTATCTTCATTGGTCTGTCTAAGCTTCGGGTAGATATGTTAAACTCCCCATCATAATGCGAATGCAGACTTGTGCTCATTGAGCGATTGAACACGATCTCGCATATAAAAGTATCCTGCCAGTGGACTGTCAATCTTTCGCACGAATGGAGAAGGACATGCATAGATCGTATGACAACTCGAGAGTGTATACTCCACCTCCACTCATACCCTCACCAAAATACCCATGTACACCACCTGCAATATGTACAGCCTCTAAACGTGATGCGCCACTTTCTGGATGCGGGGTTGCCAACAGCTCCGATGTTGGCGGGTGAGTCCGAGCCTCGAGGCCGGGGAAGGACGACTGAGGACCGTCACTGAGCGTAGTGAACGAAGCTGCAATGGAGAATGAGATATGGGCAGTGTTGATATGTGCGACACGATGAATGATGCGTTCGCAGCAAAAACATAGAGGAATACGAGGGCGGATATACATGGCCCAGCGAGTTTACAACCGACGTATGTGATCAAGTCGACGACCTGACTGATGCCTTGGACATCCTAAGGGAGAACTCACGAACCGTTGGCAGCCTTGGGGTGATCCTGGAGTGGATGGTCACGGCTCTGGGGCTGCAGGTCACGAACATGCCTCTCAGAGGTGTACTATTTACTCAAAATTCGTCTTACTACTTACCAGCGCGTTGAATGTCCTCTAGCTGGCTCTTTCAAGGCAAAAATTACGGAAAGATTACCTCGAGACTGCATCTGAGAGACGGCCTAGTTTACGGTCTCATTTGAAACTTTCTTCAGCCATAGGCGTGCGCTCTCATTAATAATGAGATTCAATATTCAATGCTGGCATAATTTCCTTTGTTGTGACGTCTACGGTGCTCTAGTGGCCGCATTTCCTCTCCACCAATGAGAGCGCTCGCTTAAGCTAGGGAAAGCTTCAAATTGTCAACGTAAAGAGAAGCCTTTCTCAGATATGTCGCTTCACCTCCGAATCGGCTTCCACTGTAGTACATCACCGGCATGTTCGTGCTGGAAGCCGATTCGGAGGCGAAGCGAGAGTCTCGTAAATCGCGACGGCCCTAGTAATTTCAACCTATAAAATCCCTGCTTGCTACTATGGTTTTGACTCATTCCCTTCAACTCGACTACTATGATGTTTACTTCTCGCTTCATCATCTTTGCGTTGCTTAGCCTCCTCGCTCGCGTCAACGCGGGAGCGTCGTGCCCAGACACACTGGGTCTCGACGGTACGATCTATGCGCTATCCGATAGCGGATCAGACCCCAACACCGGGAAAACGTCTTGCAAGTGCGTCACACTCACGAAAGTTCATTGAACAAAGTGACTGATGGGCCGTCCGTGCCACTTCATCATCCTCACTCTGCTCAGCTACGGACATTAAACCGGGTGAGACATGTGCAACGTGTCCAGCTACAGTGGATGTCGACAATGTTACCTACAAGCTATCTGACAGCGGTACAGACCAGTACGGAAACGTATCTTGCTCGTGCGTAACACTCGCATATCTTCACTGAAAGTGACTGACAGGCCTGCAGTTACTCGGATAATAATGGCTTCTCTATGGCGCAGTGCCAGTATAATGTACGTGCTTTACCGATGTTATGCAGCTCATCGTTCTCTGTTGACATGCTAGCAATCAGACGTCCGGCTATTTGGAGAACGGACCATATGCGCTGAACGGGGGGTCGTGTCCGCGTAATTCAATGAAGAATGGGGGTGCGTGCTGAGCAGGATGCGAAGAGGTGAAGGAGACGAGACATCCAACAGGAGGAGCAATGCTCGTTTGCAGACAGCTGGGCGTATGTCAGTAGATCATCACCTGGTACAAGAATTGTCTTCAGCGACTTGGGGGAGATACCGTTGTCGTCAAGGCGGTCGTACATCTGACGCATGAATGAGCCGTAATGCCTGATTCCGACGTGCCATGTGGCATGTGTTAGATGAGGATGCGTGACGAGGATGTGTTACTTACCTCTACCATCTCAAGCCTGACAATCTTGGTGAGTAACCGGAATATCCCTGTAGCCCATGCAAAGGATGCGAACTTTTCTGGAGTCACACCGTTGGTCTTGATGCGGTCGTTGCTGAACTTAGTTTGGTTGACATCGACGAGATAGTCTTCGGGTTTGAGGTCCAGTTTGGAGCAGATGAGGCAGAGCATCAGGAAAACAACAGATCTCTTATTTGCACTTATGTACCTTATCACACCTTTTTTCTCGGTTGACTTGACAAAGTGAATTAAAGTTGTTGTCCGAAAAGTCGGGTGCATTTTAGTAAGAGATATTCAGGCGGGTAAGGTGAAAAAGTCCCTTTAAGCACCTGTACATGCCAGGGTTATGCTTCACCATAGCTAATAAGCAACGAGGAGGTTTTGTAAGTTTATTTGTAGTCTACAGATCCCACATGATTAAGCTTAATGGCTTCTGAGATTCTCCGGTGTCCCAAACCAGCACTAACGCCTGAAATATTACCAAATTTAGATATTCCAGTATCCTCACTATTCTCACATATCCCTGCCAGCTCTACCTGCTTCACCACAGGTTATCCCCCTCACTACTCCTGTATATATGTAGTAGCTTGCATATATATACATAGAAAGACTCAATAGACCGCTTTCTGCATGATCTAGAAGCCTGTATAGCCTGCAGCGCTAATATGTGCACCCCAGGAGGCCAGGACTAAAACATATTCGATTTTTTGCCCCGTGAGCAGGGGAGCAATTCTGATGATATATAGCATTTATTAAAGTGCAAATTGACTTATTACACCGCTTGATTGCATCTCTGAAGCGTCCTACATTAGTAGATAGCTTACATACCCCTCAAAACATAAATCAATTCGGATTTTTCAGGGTTTTGACTTATGGCCTTTTAAATATGCTCCCTATAACATACCTTTGTGTATATATAACATACCAGAAGCTCAGGGCATGAGGACGCTTCCATGTGGTGCTATGTATGTACCTTCTCCTGGTGGTTTTCCCCCTCGGAAAGTTTTTCATGCAGCTCCGGCCCTCCAGGATGATATGCGACCTATTCTTATGTATATATAGAATATATTGATCATATAGATATATCATCACAGTATCAGAATCTTTCTCAGCAATCCAAAGTCTCCTTCTGCCTATACTATAACATATTTTCGCATATTTTCAGTTTTTTACTACATTACCACTGCATAGACTATCTAGATATAATTTCGCATTCCATCACATTAGAATATAAAGCAATATATGATCATGTAAAACCACCGCAATCTACATAATCGCTAGCAAGAACTTACCGCCGGTTCACTGAACCGGCTGTCGTGATTTACAAGACTCTCGCTTCGCCCCCGAATCGGCTTCCAGCACGAACGATTCGGGGGCGAAGTACTATGTTCGTGCTGGAAGCCGATTCGGGAGCGAAGCGAGAGTCTCATAAATCGCGACGGCCCTAGTAATTTCAACCTATAAAATCCCTGCTTGCTACAATGACTTCGACTCATTCCCTTCAACTCGACTATGATGTTTACTTCTCGCTTCGTCATCTTTGCGCTGCTTAGCCTCCTCGCTCGCGTCAACGCGGCCCCGGGTGCGTCGTGCCCAGACACACTGGGTCTCGCCGATACGATCTACGCGCTATCCGATAGCGGGTCAGACCCCAACACCGGGAAAACGTCTTGCAAGTACGTCACACTCACGAAAGTTCATTGAACAAAGTGACTGATGGGCCGTCCGTGCCACTTCATCATCCTTACTCTGCTCAGCTACGACATTAAACCGGGTGAGACATGTGCAACGTGTCCAGCTACAGTGGATGTCGACAATGTTACCTACAAGCTATCTGACAGCGGTACAGACCAGTACGGAAAGGTATATTGCTCGTGCGTAACACTCACATCTTCACCGAAAGTGACTGACAGGCCTGCAGTTACTCGGATAATAATGGCTTCTCTATGGCGCAGTGCCAGTATAATGTACGTGCTTTACCGATGTTATGCAGCTCATCGTTCTCTGTTGACATGCTAGCAATCAGACGTCCGGCTATTTGGAGAACGGACCATATGCGCTGAACGGGGGGTCGTGTCCGTATACTTCAGTGAAGAATGGGGGTGAGTGTTGAGCAGGATGCGAAGAGGTGAGGGAGACGAGACACCAGTAGAGGAGGCAGAGTTTGTTGTCCTGGAGGTCTTCGAGGCCTTGTTAGCGTTGGCGATGATCACGGAGGTGTAGATCATGCGTGGGTCAAGGAACCCGTCATGCCCGTGAGGAAAAGAAAGCTTGGTTAAGCGCTATACATACCATTCATAAAATTCAAGTCGTCACCTGCCTAGTTTGACTGAGTAGAGCGATGAAAATATTAGAAGATTGCTCGACGGTCATAGACCTATTCTTCGTCTTGGGACTAGGAGTAATGATGATCTCGGGGAGAAAGTTCATGAAGACGTATTCAAAGAGTTCTGGAGTCCATGACCAACCAATCGTGGCGTTTCTCCATGATGTCCCTAGGGCCTACACGTCGCCTGGACGCATCAAGTGAGCAGAGGGGCACGTGAAAGCCAAAACGAAATTACCGTCAAGACTTGGTTAAGATCGATCTTTCCCTCAAAGTACGCGTCGTGGAAGACCTGCATTGGCATCTTGACGGTGTTGCCGTGATATTGTTCCTTGAGTTGTGGGTCGTCGGCGGTGATATACAGTATACTATGTAGTAGTCCTCAAGGTCTGCCGAGCGTAAGGAACTTCACGTTCTTGCGACGACGGTACATGCTGGATGGTGTCCAGTTTGCGACTGGTTGTTGGGAATGCGATGAGGAGGAGGAGAAGGGAGAAGAGGTAGCTATAGGTGTCGAGGCTGTCACAGACTCGCAGTTTACAAAGAGAACTTAAGGAAGGATGCGGTTGAGGATCAATAGGACAGCGAGGACGAGTGCAGCGAGCTGCGAGTTGTATACTGGAGAAGTAACTGATGTTATGTACCTTCAGCTACACCAACGGGTGGTGTGCGTTCGTTGGTCTACGATCGACTCGTAACTAGAAGGACAACGCAGCTGCACTAGCTCTGCACTCTCAGTATGTTGAAATTTGGTTATTATATCGGCTTAGAGCACAAAGCTTCCCATGATACATGATGTTAAGAGAACTACAATTTTTACAATGTACTATGCCTGACAATTTGCCTTCCGGCGCGACACAACTCAGGATGTCAAAATTGACGAGGGTTCAATGAACGTTACTGGCTGAGTAGATGAAAGCTTCTGTCAGTCAAAAGTAAGGGAACAGCGATCCAGGTACGAGCCTCGAATGTGTTTTTGGTAGGGCTGGTTTGATGCCAACGTCTGAGTTACTATCATTGCTTTTAAGAGAGGTGTACTCACTTGAAATGCACTTCTTCAGAGCTAACTCGAGTATGGACGACAGGGTACTTGGTCCTAGTTACCACGATGCCACAATACAAGCCCACATTCTGGGCAATCAGAGTCAGATCGATCCTCTGCGCAGAGAAGGGTGTGGATTCGCTCACTTCGGCGCGGATGTTCTCATGCTCCCTACATCAGAGCAGCCACTTTGAACACTGGACGTGCAAGGTATGTTCTACGACCAAGGTGATATTAAACAAATGGTATGTATATGGTGATCGTCCGTGCGTACATATTTTTTTATCCCTGCATCCTTGAGTGCATCACGTCGCGTGTTGCATTTACACGATCAGGCTTCGAAAGACAGTCAGTTTCCACAAAACGAAACGAGCTGAAAAATGCTCACTTGACATCCCTCTGATCGCGCACCTGGAGCCATGTCCCTGGTGGCAGCACGTGGACGGAGATGCGTGTATGTAGATCGAGGGGAGTGGCTAGTTGATATCGCCCCCCCTGCGAGACCGATGATTATAGCTGGAGACTATAAAATTCAAAGAGGATGGACCACCGATGATCTAGCCCCATTAGCCATCGGCACGTTCAAAACCACTTAAACGGCAAATGGGATTGTATCGTCGACCCGAAGTCCAATGAAACACTGTACTCATCTCATCTCTGTTACATTGGTGGCTCCTGATGTCAAGGTCTGGAGTGGTCCATATATTAGAAAGGGACATCGTTAGCGGTCTCATCCCTGATCCATGTATTCGTTCCGACTGTACCGGGGAGTATACGGATCAGGAAGGGACGGCGTTGGTGATATTTCAAAAGAAATAACTATGAGTGTTGTAAAGGGTGAAATCAATGAACAGTCACTAGCACTAGTCAAGCTTCAAGACGCAAAGTTCGATCCGCAAGTACTGAGTCCTACTGAGTCTATATGGATTAACGCACACAAATAACTGCAGACAATTTACATAAGTATTCTTGCAGCTTACAGTTCCACGGCTCACTTGGTCGAGAGTCTGAGAACAACAAGGGCCATTCCGAAACCGACGCACATCACGCTAAGTTAACTCCAAATAAGGCGATATATTCTACGACCAAGGTGACATTAAGCAAGTGGTATATAGCGCCTCTGCGCATCGTCCGTACGTATTTTGATTTCTGCGTCCACGAGTGGTGCAATCACTCGACCAGGCTTTGAAAAAGGAAGGGTTAGCTTCAACAAGACAAAACCAAATGAAAAATGCTTACCTAACCTCCCTCCCATCGCGCACATGGAGACTCCAGTGGTTCTCCACGCCCGAAACACGGTGATACGCGTTGAGGTTCTTGTGCAGCGTAAGCTGGAACACACTAGCGCTGCCTTGACGCGAGATGATGGTGCTGTAGGCGAGGAAGAACACCCAGACGCGGTACCAGCGCTCTCCGTACTTCTCTTCAACCTATTAGAGAGATGCACGTCAGCGATGAAGATGGGGAAGAGGACGCATACCTTCTGGCGGTTGTTGACCCAGTTCAAGTACCACCTCCAGATAGTAGCGCTATAATGGACGCCAAGGACGTCGATGTTCTTGACTTCAAAACCAGCGGCTTCGACTTGGTTGACTACCCAGCCGAGAGAGCAGGAGGCGTCGGCACCGGGGAAGACGTATTTGTTCATGAAGAGACCCCTGCGAAAATGTTAGCGTACAATAGATGCACATTAGCGATACTTACCAAATGAGATCCTCGTATTGCCATGAGGGACGGAATCCGGCGACTTGCAGGACGAAGATGCCGTCGTCGTCAAGGAGGTCATACATTTGACGCATGAATGCACCGTATCGCCTAATTCCAACGTGCTGTTGGCATGTTAGATAAGAATGGGTAATGAGGATGCAGTACTTACCTCAGCCATCTCGAGACTGACGATCTTGGTGAAGTGACCGGGACCACCTGGAATATCCCTGTAGTCCATGCATAGGATGCGAGCCTTGTCAGGAGTAACGCCGTTGGTCTTGATGCGCTCGTTGCCGAACTTGGTTTGGTTTTTTCCGAGGGTGATACCGGTGACGTCGCATCCATAGTTTTTGGCTGCGTAAGTGGCAAGGGTTCCCCAGCCGCAGCCGACGTCGAGGAGACGGTCTTCCGGTTTGAGGTCCAGTTTGGAGCAGACGAGACGAAGTTTGTTGTCCTGGAGTTCTTCGAGAGAAGCGTTTTTGTCAGCGTCAGTGATGACACCGGAGGTGTAGATCATGCGTGGACCAAGGAACCTATCATGGGTGAGGAAAAGAAAGTATGGTTGAGCACCATACATACCATTCGTAAAAGTCATCGCCTCCTGCATGGTTTGAGTGAGTAGAGTGAAATTAAAATTAAAAGACTGCTTACGGTCATAGTGGTCGCGAACCTGTTCTTCGTCTTGGGATTGGGAGTGAACGATGACCTCGGGGATGAGGTTCATGAAGACGTATTTGAAGAGTTCCGGAGTCATGACCATTTTTGCCCAGTCGTGGCGTTCTTCGAGGATGTCCAACACGTCGCCTAGACGCGTGAAGTGAGCAGAGGGACGAGTGAAAGCACAAAGGAAATTACCGTTGAATTCAATCTTCCCTTCAAAGTACGCGTCGTGGAAGACCTGCATTGGGATCTTGGTGCTGCCGTGGTATTTTTCCTTGAGCTCTGGGTCATTGATGGTGATGTATTCCTCAAGGTCTTTGCCGGGCAAAAGGACCTTGACGTTCTTACGACGACCGTACATGCTGGCTACTGTCCAGTATGCCACTGTGACGGGGATTCCGGTGATGAGGAGGAGGAAGATGTAGGTCTTGAGACCACCACGGTTTACAAAGGGGAGGATGCGTTTGATGACCCATGGAACAACGAGGACGAGCCCAGCGAGCTGTAGATTCGAGAAGTAGCCATTACCTTCTGCTAAGCCTACGAGCGGCGCGTTTTTTATTGAAGGAACGTTGGTGGTTCGAACTGGTGTAAACGGCATCCTCGCCGTTGGTGGTCTATGACTTGTAAGTAGGAGGACAATTCAACTTTTTATGTTTCTGCGCTTATGACTTGTTTGACCTTGTTTGTACAGCGACACGCGTTTCGCCAAAATTCTTTTCCTTGGACTGTCTTCGAAATGATGGACAACGACAAATCTCGACCAGTTCAGAAACGGTCGTAAGAGGATCACGGTTAGTGACTCAGTTGGATGACTGCGTGGGTACTAAGGTTGTTTTTGGCCGAGCAGCCCTCGATTGGACGTTGTGAACTGCGGCTTTCGATTTTCTCAGGTCACTGGCTCAGCAAAGAAATGAGTAACGCTGTATAACCTTCCTGCAGCCCGCTGGAAGCCTACTCGGAGGACAGGCGCGCGTGGTCTCAGTGATTTCAGCCAATAAAACCCCTGCAGGCTCGCTCACGTCAATAAGTTCCACTTCCCATTTCATCATCCTTACGCTGCTCAGCTTCCTTGCTGGCGCTAAAGCGGCATGTGCACACTGCCCGCCGTAAGGCGATCTACGAGCTAATCTACCACGGTACCCAATTCGACGGGGACATGCTTCACCTCGCCGCCGATCTGCGGGTTTGCCTCATCGTATAACCGTAGGGTTCCCTTTGAGCCGTTTCCTATGCAAAACGCAAATGCCGGAAGCCGACGAATTTCGGATGAGTAGCGTACTAACAGGGGATGAGAGACTCTAAGTTTTTAGAATGATCAAGTCGTCGCCGAGGAACAGTGACACGAATAAGATGCCACAACTATGTATGTCGCTGATAATATATCAGAATATTTCAACTTGTTCTCAATACACTATATAGTACTTTTACGACTGACGTTACGATGATGTCGAACATCATTGTATCGCTTCCACCATTTCGTACCCAATACGTCAGTCACTCCCTTGTGCATACGCTCCAAAAATGCGAGATTTGCCCAAAAACTTCGTTGCGGAGTCTGCGCAGACTTCGGTCATTTCCAACATATTTACGTTCCTTAGCTAAACTTCAAAAAGAAAAACAACCATCTCAACGACGCGAGACCTCATTTGTTTCTTCGTCTGATTCTCAATGCTAGTGTTGGCAATCTTCGTCTTCGCCTTCGTTTCTACGGTTCTTCCCTTCACCGCTGGTCGTGTGCATGGTCTCCAGCGTGAACGTCATGAAGAATTAGCGCAGCGGGCGCGGGGAGACGTTGGCATCCACAAACGCGCTTTCTATGGCGCGCGTTTTACCTTTTATGACGTTGGCTTGTGAGTGTACCAAGGAATCATTTCTTGAGCTTTGTAACTTATTGTTTTCGATTCAAGGGGCGCTTGTGGGCAATACAACTCTCCGGACGATTTCGTATGTCTCAGTCGCAATATTTTCTTGCCTCCAATACTGATTTTGTGACGAGATCGTTGCTCTCAACGTCGCCCAATTTGGCATTGGTTATCCGGGTCCGAATTGCTTCCAGACTATCACCATCACCTATGGGGGCAACACTGCACAGGCCACCATCATGGACAAAGTGAGCCCAACAGCACCCCATTTGTCTCTTTTATTTGACGTGCCTTTTTCAGTGCATGGGATGCCCGTGGGGTGGGCTTGACTTCTCTCGTGGTCTTTTCAATCACTTCGCTTCCGAAGATGTTGGCGTCGTTTACGGATCATGGTCGTTTGATGATGGCCCCAGTGAGCCTACATCATCCTATTAGGTCTCCTGTAGTAGACCAAAAGGACTTCGGAAGATAGTTCGTCCCTTCTTTATTATGACAACATCCTAGTCTCTCCTAGTCAGACAATTAGAAGGAAGAGAGTTGTTCCATCTTAATAATGACAATATCCTCAAGTTCCCAATGGACGCCGGCGCCAATGCCAACCCTTGAGTCACAAAGCCCACGTCCGTTTGGACACCACCTACCACACAAGCTATTACACAACTTCCTCAACCACATCCTCTATACCCACCACGTCTACGTCCAACGTCTGGACCACTCCGACGTCGTCCCGACATCAATTGCAACAAAGGTGTA